CACAGGTTTAGATGAAGAGAAAAGATGGATCTCAGTGGAAAAGCACATGCCTGGGTTCAATTGTTGGCATCACCAAGCGTGGGTAGGGAAAGGTATTTGGGCTCATCCACTGCACTGAGCTGTAATTTGTAAGGTGTGTTAGTTTAGTGTAGCCAGTTGCGCTTTGTAATTCACTCTTCCTGCTTTGTGCCTTTGTTACCTCAGCTAGCATAGATCATCAGATGGATGGTTTGATTCTGAGTTCTGCTGGATTGATGAAATGTGTCACGTACAAGGGAGCAACAGGAACTGCTCTGAATCTGGCACAGAAAAGTGGTTGGAAAGGCAACATTTGCCCTTCTTCCTCCATTCTGATATCTCTTATCTTTTTAGTTTTTAATATTACCTTTTTTTTTTTTTTTTTTGGCCATCCTGCAGTTTGAGGCATTGCAGTCTTGCCTGGTTAGGTGAGGCCTGCTGAAGCATGTAGAACCTGAGTCGGAACAGGAAATAACTGTAGAAGATTTTGATGAGGATATAATTATGAAGCCAGTACAAAGTCAATGACGCTGTTTGCTGCCTCCTTTATTATTGGAACATAGGCTGATCTGGTTCCATGGCTCTCCCCTAATGATTCCAACTTGTGACGATCGAAGCAGCCAAGAACTTGAACAATTTAGAAATTGAAAGTGAAACAGAATGCTTCCAGGAAAAGGTGGAGCTTGAAGAGGTGACAAAACCTCAATATCACTGGCAGGAAGAGCTGGCCCCTACCTCAACAGCAAAAAGGCAAATTACAGGGATGAAGAACTTGATCCTATTTCCCCAAGGTAGGAAGTTGTGCAAAGGATGCCTCAGAGTGAGAGGAGCCCTGGGAGGCCCAGTGCAGACCAAATATGTGCTGAGACGTGCTGCAAAGCAGGCCTGATACCTTGTGCGCCTCTTAAAGGCCCATACTGTTGTTTTACAACTGCATAGTCAGGATTGTGATTATTAAAAGAGGTAATTTCACTATTTAACGACCCAATGTCTAATAACCATAATTCCAGGCTCAATTGTGGTTATAAGTGGAAAACTACCTGTACAAAGTTTATCAGTGGAAACCACATGGCCTCCAAGAAAATGAATGGTCCCTTGCTTTCCTGGTATAGGTAAAGAAGCAAAGAGGATTATCAGTCTGGGGAGTTTGGGAAGCACAATTATGCCATCATGTGTGGCCACATGTGGAGGATAGATTGTGATCCAGACAGGAATTGTTTCTAGCTGGAATATGTACTGTATAGGAGTCCATCCATCAGTTTAAGACTGTAGCATGGAAAAGACTGGAACTTTGTTAGGGCTGAAATAGAAATAGCATTCTGTGAGTGATTCTGTAGTTGTTTGCCAGATATTGATAGAGGCAGTTATAGAGATAGATAAGTTTAAGTCATGACAGATAGATACCAATCTCAGTAGCTAGCTATTGGATCCTCAGTGATTCTCTGTTCAGCTGCTGCTTTTGAACTCCAAATCCACGTGTAGCTATTCTGTCCTTATCATGCTCTTATCTTGGATAAGGCTGCCACCATTGTATAATTTATAGAAACCTATTTGGCCCAAAGACGGTGATTCCCTTTTCAGAAATATGCCCCACACTCAGTATGCCATGTAGTATGGCCACATAACACCTCTGCTTCATAAATTATATTGCTTGCCAGTTTGCTTCCACATAAAATTCAATACCCAGTTTGTTACCTATAAAATTCTACTTGGTATAGGGCAGGGTTGAAATGCTCCTGGTTTGGTCTGGTTTGCCCAAACTGGTAGTAAAAAAATGTAAAAAAAAAAAAAAAGTTCCGATGATCAGGTGAGTGACGCACGATTTGTCGTAACTTTTTTTAAAAAACTTTTTAGGCATTTTTTTACTACCGATTCTCTGGAACCGGTAGTAAAAATGCTTTTAAAAAGTAAAAAAAAAGGCTCCGAAGATCACACGCCACAGCTGATCACCACCCCCACACATGCTGTTCTACTTACCCCATGCCTCCTTTTGGTCTGCACTGTGCGTGCATGTGCGCGCACCTCGCATTTGGTGCGTGGTGTGCACTGCGCATGCACAGCCAGCGAACCGGTAGAAAACCAGTTCAGATTTCACCACTGCTATAGGGCCAGATTATTTGTGGAGCCACCTATCTCCAAAAACATCTGCCTCTGCCAATGCAGTCTGGAGTACTCTGATTTCCTATGATTAAAGATTGTCATTTATCAGGACCCCAGAAGCTCACCTTCTCTGTAGCAACATCTGCCCTCCGGAATGAAGCTCCCCTGAGATCTGGGTGGCCTCTACTTTGCTGTTGTTTAGAAAGGCCTTGAAGATCTGTTTTTGTTTTTGTTTTTTTGCCCAGGTCTTTGATAAGGGAGAATGAACAAGCTTTACTTTGTCCTTATCCAAGTTATCATTTTTGCCATATTTTATTTATTTATCCTTTGATGTGGTGGTTAAGGTGTTGGCCTAGAGATGAAGAGACTAGGAACTATATATATAGAAAATAAAGGCGGGATAAAAAAAATCAATTAAATAAATATTCAGTTTTAAATGTAATGCTATGCTTGGTTGCATAGTCAACAGATTTAGATTGGATCTGCATTTTTATTTGCTTATTGAGTCCTTCACAAAGATCTGGATAGGCAGATGTTGGTTAATGGTATTAAAGGTACGTCACAAGATGTAAGTTGTCATTATGGTTGGTTGCACAGTTAGCCAGATGTTTTTGTCCATCCGTTGATTATTACAGTGCTGTGAGGGTAATCTACAGTTAGATTCACAGTTTAAGATTGGGGAAAACGTAATCATTCAAGTCCTAACAAAAATCCTAACATTTATTAAGGTGGCATCTAAGAATAGGGCAATCTGAAGCAGGATATTTATTGTAAAAATAGGGTATTCAGATCTGATAAATTCAGTATTTCCAGATATCAAGGATTCATTGCAAGGTCTCCAATCACAGTTAGTATAATAATTGATTTCTTTTTCCAGAAGTATTCAATCTGTAAGTCCTGTATTTGATCATTTTTCCATTGTTATTCCTCAGTCATAGCATTATATAGAATAGCATCATCAATGAACCAATCTTTCTTCTTTTCATAACCTGTCATATCATGCAGGTTTTGAGCCTGTCTGTTTGGATCTTCTTATTGTTTTAAAATCATTGTTATGGTATTTGGGCAGATCACAATTAAACCAAGGAAAACACAATAACGAGTTTAAAATAAGAAGAGTCCTTGAGAATCAGGTAGTATACACATTTGATTGAAAAATACATACACATTCACACACATATAAGATAAACATGCACACATGCTACAAAATTCTTGAGTTTTTCCAAGTCTTTTAATAATCATTGCTTATTCACGGGTTTTCTTATTTTGTAAAGCTTTGGAGAATGTAGAGATTTTTGACTTTCGGGAGTTTGACCTAAAAATCTCTTTGTTTTGGATTGGGCCGTTTTAGTATTTTTCTATCATGCTTCCTTTCACTCTATCCCTTCCTTTCTTGAATAGACACACACATTTCCATGATTTTTGTTCTTGATGTTTTATTTTACACTATGTTATCTGCCATGGTTAGCTGTTTTGGCATATTTGTACTTGTTTCTGTCTAACATAATATAGAAACTTTGCCCACAGTGTTGAAAAAATACAGCTGTGTTTTCTGGAATGCAAGGGAATATGCATTCCAGCTACTTTTGTACTTAGATGAAAGTCATATTTTGTTAATACAGAAGAAGCTACATACAGAAACAAACCTTGGTGTGCTGGCAGCCCATCAAATGTGTTGATATTATAATCCTCAGAATTTCACAGCTGGGGTGCCAGTTAGGATTTTAGATTTTAAACCCCAATACAGTTGGAAGGCCATAATTTAGAGAAAATGGTCTAGACTGATTTTGGGTATGTCTGATCAAGTATGAAATCAGATTAAGTGCTAAATTAGAAGAATTTGTGTTTTGGAAACTCAGATAGTAGTGCCCAATATTATGTGTGGTTAGCCAAGGTTTTTCATGAAATACTTAGTATAGGTCATGTCTATCCTTGGTTTGTTATAGACTACTTAACCATGATGGTGGATACAGGAGATTAACTGGTTTGTATTGAAAACTAAGTCATATTCGGTGGCTTCACACTGTATAATCAGAAATGAAGCAGAATAGAGTTGAGCACTTTGCATATGAAAATCAATTTGTGTGAGCTCCAGTGAGCTTTCAAAAGTAATAAAATACAGTAATAAAATATAGTGACTTCACAAACACTCCTTATAATCTAGGTCTAGCTCACATTGGTTTATCTCATCTCATAATAACTATTAAGATCTTGAGTGGTATATATTGTTTTGGAGATGGTGCATTTTAATTATATATTAGGATTTTTTTATTTTAAATGTGAGCCACATGGAGCTTTATTTTAAGACCAGGAGGAATTAAATATGTTTTTTGAAACAAATGCGGAGAGGAAGAACTATCAGGATATAAGTGGGGCAAGTAGAAAAGGTGTCTTTGACACTAAGTGGTGTTTAATTTCCCAAGATGTTCATCCTTGCCTGGAAGTCACATTTTTTAGATTGGATCTCCCCCCCCCCCCGTCCCCAATAAATACTAGGCATGTTTCAACTAGTTGGGCTTCCTCAGTGACACGAGAATGGCATTTTGCACTTTCCAGAAAGCTCTCTTCTCTTATTCCAGAGAACCAACGGTTCTTAACCACTGAAAAAAAAATCTATGCCAACATTATTTTTTCTCTTAATGTATACTTCCTTATTATAAAGCCTTGTAACCACTTGCAAATTACTTTTGTAATTTTCTCATGATCACCATCTATACTCAGGAAGTTTTATTCATGGGAATTACTGGCTCTATCAAATCACTGAGGGTACCAGTACAGGAACAATGAATATAAAGTATACAAAGATTTGTTGCTTTCACACTGTTATGAAGAACCTGTCTTCTATTTCTTGTAATCCAAAATAATATTTCTGCCCTCTCTAGGATTCTTGCTGGAGCTCCCCGTGATGTGGCTTTCCATATGGATAATAAAACACGGACAGGTGCTATGTATGCTTGTCCTTTGACTGCAAATTCCAGTGATTGTACACAGGTGGACTTTCAGGTGAAAAGTATGTAAATGTGCAAATGAAGAACTTACCTGAATAGAGTACAATGATCTATAGAAAACAATGCAGGCTAATGATTAGTGATTAGACCAGAATATGAAATATCTTTAGGAAGGGTAGGCTTGTTTTATTTTGTTACACTAAGTAACAAAAAGCCTTGTGGCACTTTTAAGACCAACATCAATCCATAGTTGCTGTAGCATGATTGACTTCAAATTCATTCTACTTTAGATTTTGTTTCCAGCATTTATGTTTTTTTGTAGTTATGAAGTTGGACTTCCCTTAGTAGAAGAAAAACTGAGAAAAATTAATTCTAAAGGACTGATTTGGGGTTTGGAATGTGACAGGAGGGTGGCTTATCACCATCTTTTATAATACAACAAATGATCTTGCTCCCATATCCTATTTCTTATCTGTAAACAAATCTTTAAAGCCTCCTCAATTCAGTCCTGAAGTAAGCAAACTCTATTAAAGGTTATCAGTGATAACAACTTGTCTGTTTTAGCCTTGATCAAATAATCTAACTCTATAAACCTTCCTTTTACTTCTACTAGTCTTGATTTTAGTTCCTTCAAATAATGTCCTAACACTTGATTTCCTTTCATTTTTCTTTGACTTTTTTCACCAAATTCTTCAAAGCTTTACAAGCCTCTTTTGTAAATCTGATATAGGACAATTATCCAGGTCACTCTCTTGGTTTGTTATTTGTACATCCTTTTTAATTATTAAAACATCAGTGAATTTACTTTCTGTATATGGTGTATATCTTTTCCTGTGTCATTCTTGTAGCTTTCAAATAAATCTCAATCTTGCCAGTTAAAACATGTTTTTCTTCCTTAACATCTTATAAGCACAATCTATCTATAGTGGCAGAATATCCTTCAAAATGTTAAAATATTTTGCTTCATTTAGTATTTGTATTTGTAAATTGAATTCCAGTGTTCTTCTTTAATTGTAATCTTTACTTCTAGTTCCCTCTAGTGTCCAATTTTTAATCTTATAGTTTTTTTTTCATCAAAACAAAAGCATTTTCCAAAGGAAGGATTTTTTATAATTCCCACATTTCTTTCAAATTTAGTCCATATGTAGCTTTCTAAAATCAGTCTTTTAAATTATCTAAATATGAATCTTTTAATCACCCGTTTGCTGTTAAAAAATATTTGTAAGTACTTAAACTTGTATTTAAAAGTTAAGTAAGAATTGAAGGAAACTCACCTGGTACTATAAAACCTGTGGATGCAAAACCAGTTCCTATTAGCTGAAAGCCAAAAGTGATTAGAAAAGGAAATATGCAAACCGAAGTGATCTTTGATAAGTTATTAAAATTGTTTATACTTGAGAGGGAAGTCATTTCTTTATATATTTCTTTTCATTTCTCTCCTACATTTTTTCTTTTCTACTTCTCTATTTTTCTTATTTGCATCTATTTTTCTTTCTATTCTTTTATGCTTTTAGTTTGTATTAGTTTTTATTGTTGGAATTCTGATATTTAATAAAATTATTATAAAAAAGGAAATATGGCAAGAAGATGGATCCTTTTCTAATCATATTTATCTTTTGGGGGGTTTGTTTTTGTTTTGGCTCACTGTACTTTTAGGTGATCCACAAAATAATATTGTTGAAGACATGTGGCTGGGAGTGGTGGTAGCAAGCCAACATAAACCTTATGGGCGAGTAATGGTGAGTATAATATATGTGAGAGGAGATTATTTCTGCTGCTTTTGAATCCTCCCTCCTGCCTTAAAGTCATGTGCTGAGCTAATGATGTGAATCGGGGAGAATCAGTGGTGTGGGAAAGTGGACCAAAAATGTTATATGCTGTCCAGTTTTCCTATGCTTTCTTGTTGTTTATCCCATGTCACTGTTTTAATGCCACACCATTTCCTCCATAACTACTTCAGAATTCTGATGGGAAAAAGCTATATATGTATTTTCAGAATAGTCTTTTTCAATTAGAACCAGCCTGTCCTGTGCTTTCATCCCAAGAATGTTTCCTATAGGTTCCTATCATAACATGGTGAAAATAGGATCCCTGAAGTTTACCTTCTTAGTCGCAGCTTCCACAGTATGGAATATTTAATCCTGTGATAAAGAGAGCCTGATAAAATTTAGGGATCAAAACTGAGACATTTTAGGGTAAGTGCCAGTCAGAAGAACCTATTCTAGGCCTAAGGCAGCTATCTGAATTCCGAACTTGTCTTAGATCGGGGTCCCCAACCTTTCGGACCTCAGGGACCACTACATTCATAATTTTAAATCCCGTGGACCACTAATATGATCTGCCTAATGACTGGCTGGGTGGGTGTGGTCAGGGCCAGATTTTCCTATAGGCTAACTAGGCTTCAGCCTAGGGCCTCAAGATCAGGAGGGGCCTACATTCAAATTGTTAGCAAAATTAAAATTACACTTTCACTGTAGGTGAAAGGTCCTCATAAGTGGAATAGCTTAGGGCCTCTTTTCATCTAAATCTGGCCCTGGGTGTGGTTAGGTGGTCATGTGACGGGTGGCCGTGGCTAATTCGATATCACTCACATCAAGGGATGCCTCGCCAGCCTCTACTCACCCTCCCCTCCCATCACTCCTCACCTGCTCGCCCGGGCTCTTTAGGGCCCCAACAGGAGTTAAGCAGCCACCACGAGAAAGAGTTGGCAAAACAGCTCAGTTCAATTTGGATCTGACTGAGAAGGAGGCTCAGCAGAAGCACCTCACTGAGGACTACGACCATAGGCTTTCCAAGCGGAGGGAAGACCTGTGGGAGTGCAAGGCTAGGTACCGGCACCAGAAGGCTCAGTGGGCTGAGATGGTCAGCCAGTTCCAGACCATGAGACAGTCCCATTGGAACAAGGCCCTCCAGCTCTTCACTACCAGTGGCACTTCCCTCCAGCCTTTGCCTAAAGCCCCGTACCAGCAGGCTGAAACAGACCCCAAGTTGGAATTTCTCTCCCCCGACCTACACAAAAAGACCCCGAAGGGGGAGACTCTCTGCAGCAACACAAATGTTCATTGCACGTATCAGGCCCAGGGGCTGTAGTTTGAGGACCCCTGATTTAGTGCAATATAAAAAATGCAAATAATTTTTCTGTGGACCACCAAAATTTTCTCGTGGACCACCAGTGGTCCATGGACCACCAATTGGTGACCACTGTTTTAGATAATCTGAGCATAAGGCCCTTTCAAGAAAATTCAAGAGTAATCTAAGCAGTCCAACATTATTATTATTACACTAGCATGTTATCTGACCTTGACCTGTGATTTTTTTTTATGATGGTACCTCAAGACCAATAACAAATATCTTTAATCTGCAAAGTTGAATAGATGAAAATAAGAAAGGTCTATCTAGGTCCATGATGTGGTCCTCATTTGAGTTAGAATGCAAGCTTGTCCTATCAATTTAGGGATAAGGTGTCAAATTCCATTAATCTGAATGGGGAAAGAGCCTGTAGTACAGTGGACTAAAGCACTGTTATTAACATCTGCTGCTTGCAATTACTGCAAGTTCAAATCTCACCAGGCTCAAGGCTGACTCAGCCTTCCATCCTTTCAAAGGTAGGTAAAATGAGGACCCAGATTGTGGGGGCAATAAGATGACTTTGTATAAATATATAAAAGTATGAAGGCTATTGCTTAATGCATTGTAAGCCGCCCTGAGTCTCCGGAGAAGGGCGGCATATAAATTAAAGCAAAAAAAAAAAAAAATTGCCTTAGAGGACTACCTGTTTTGTCTCTTTATACAGTATCACAGAAGCGCCTGTCATCATTAAAAATATTCTTCAGACAGGCCCACGGTTCTTGGCTTATCCCTTCCTTTCCTCCCACATGTAATCCATCTTCACTTCTTCCTTCTAGGCAATAATAGCTCTTGGCTGTTTTGATCCTCTGCCACATCAGCAAATTTAAATCTTTCAAAAACATTTTCAGGAGGAATTAGCTGAAATTCAAGAAACAGTTCTGGGCAGGGAAAGCATAATGGTCTTGGAGAACAAGTTGCAGATACCACTTGGGCCAGTTGCCTCCCACATAACAGAAGATGTCATCTGCAGAATTCCATTGCAGGGAGTCAAGCTTTCTCAACAAACTTGCATAATTGCTCTTCCCTTCTTTTTCCTTTCTTCCCTGGTGCTATTTAGTGGATATAGCTGATGCTTGAAGTTGTTCATGTAGAAAGATTTCTAGTACTTCCAAATCACAGTTTGAACAATGTTAAACAAAACTAATATTTATTAGTAGTGACAATGCATAATCTCTTTGTGTCATTTATTCCAATTGAAAAGCTTAATTGATAATGTTATAGTTATCTCAAGTTTGATTATGATCTGGATTCAATTTCATCCCATATGAATGAGGATTTCCAAGTTAGAAGGCTTTTTTCCCCTAACCCATGATACTGTATGTTATGGTTCTTTTGGTTTTGCTTTAGGATACTGCAAAAATCCAAGCACCATGATTTTTAAACAAATTTAAAAATGGTGGGATATGTGATGGGATGTACAAACCATACAGAATGCCTATCAAAATACCTGGAATTCCTTAGTCTCTTTCACTTCAGACTAAAATCTTGTTTAATTTTATTTTTCAAGGCTTGTGCTCACCGATACACTCGGATTTTTGGCAGTGAACATCAGAGGCGCATGGTAGGAACATGCTATATCCATAGCAATGACTTGCGTCATCAGGTGAATGATTCGTGGCAAACTTATAATGAGATGTGTGCTGCCAACTCAGATTTGGAGAATACAGGCATGTGCCAAATGGGCATCAGCGGTGGCTTTACAGACAACTTTGTCTATTTTGGAGCTCCAGGAGCTTACCATTGGCAAGGTTTGTGGCTCTTAATTGCCGTTCCCTACTTTTCTTATACCTTTCATACATGTCAGTCTCAAATAGTTTTAGGGCATAATTTAGTTGGAATAAATTCTGATATGAGCTAATGATTAATCAACCAAAATATTATTATTGTTGCTGCTGTTACTATAAATGAATGATTCTTAAAATTAAATATATTTTCATGGAAAAAGGGAGGGAACTAACCACAGTTAACTATTCTGAATAAGCATTGACTGAAATGTTGATTATTTAACCTATTCCAAGATAAACTGCTAGAACAGCTCTGCAAGTAAGGACTTCTTTAATATAATATAATTCAGAAGAGAGCTGGAAGGGACCTTGGAGGTCTTCTAGTCCAACCCCTGCTCAAGCAGGAAACCATATACCATTTTAGACAAGTGGCTTTTTATCTTCAAATGTCATTTTTCACATCCTTTTCCTTTTTCCTCCTCACAGACAGTTGATTGAGGGAGAAAAAGAGGCAGAAAAATGTGGAGACTGAGATAAAGCCATTCTGGCCATTAGTGGCTACATTTTGACTGTACCGCTTTGAATCACCCACCCCCTCACCCCAGATTGTCTCCTTTACCCACTTAGAAAATGTCTGAATGTCAACTGCCAGTTTATGGAAGTCGATTAAGTGCAGAAGATTCTTATTCTGACATCCATATTGTCCAAGCATAGCCCAGATAATCACCCTCTATGTTTTTTGCTTTCAACGCAATCCCTTTCTTCCTAGATCTCAGCTTTCTGTCTCCTTCGTCCCATTTCCCATTTTTTCAGTTTCTTCCCTTTCATATCACCGGAACTTTCTTTCCTTCTATCTGGTTCTTGCTTCTGAATCTCAGTCTTTTCCCAGGTCCCCTGAAATACCTGCTTCTTCCATTTCCCACTTGTTTGTGGTTCTTTCATGCAGCTTTTCTTCAACTTAAACTTTTTGCTTCTCTCCTCCTTTTCTCTTTTTAGAAGAGCCTTTCTCTTTTTTTCCAAGCACCATCACCACCTTCTTCCTCCTCCTCCTCCTCTTCTTCTTCCTTCTCCTCCTCCCCCTCTCCTCCTCCTCCTCCTCCTCCTCCTCCTCCTCCTCCTCCTCCTCCTCCTCCTCCTCCTCTTCCTCCCCCTCTTCTCATTGTCCCTCCTCCTCCTCGCCCTTCATAAATCTCCCAATCCTTACTCTCTCTCTGTATTCCAACAAAAAGCAGTTGAGGGAGAAGAGTTTGATTATCACTATCTCAGAGTAATGCATGAATTCAAAATAATGCTGAATTGTTCAGGCCTTTTCTGGTGTTTGAAAATGGACACATTGAAAGAAGTATTTTTCTCGTCCATCTCCTTGCGTAGGAGTGTCTATGTGAACATGATAACTGTTCAACACAACATGAAAGCATTCTCCACTGTTTGGAGCACATCTGCCTAGGGATTTCTGTTTGTGTCAGTGTGAGAATGTGTGAGGACCATTGGGGAAGATATCACTTCTCTTTTCCTTTAACTCTTAAAACCCCTCAGCCCCTCATGACTCTCTACAAAGCAGACACAGAAGCTTTTAATCATACTTCCCATCCAGCAACTTTGAAAATTAATTGCTGGATGTGACTGAGAGATGAGAGCCTGGGAAGAAAGGAAATAATCTTTTCAAACAGCATTAAAAGGTATCCTGGATTTTGATTTGTATTTTATCGGAATGCTAAAGATTGCACTTTTGTTTACACAGGAACGGCTTATGTGAGCTACCCAGGGATTTGGGACCAAGTAGATTTATCCTATCCAGATCGGAAAACTAGACATATTTACCTAGGTAATTGCATTCAACTCTCACTTTGTCAGGCTTAAAACATGATTTGGTGCACAGTAGTGCCTCCTTCCTCTCGCATTTCATTTTTATTTTCTTTATTTATTGGATTTGTTAAGGCTCCAAAAAGACTTTATATATCTGATGCATAAGCTTAAAAAAAAATGAAACACCAAACTCAAACACAACTGAAACAACATAACTGCCCAGACAAAACAGCAGCAATGAAATTCAAACAGACAGTGGCTCCATAGAGACTCTAATCCCAGGCTTGCGAGCCAGTCTTGATGGAGTGTGTATCCTGGGGGAGAGGCGGGAGGGATATTGTTCCAGAGAGCAGCAGCTACGATAGAGAAAGCACGCTTCCTTGGTCCCACAAGATGTGAACATGTAATTGACAAGAACACACTGGACTAAAAAAAGAAATCATAGAAATAATTTGTGATATGTAGTATCATATGTAGCATCTTCATAGTCAAATGTCTCTCAGCGCGCTGAAAACAGATAGCATAATTTAAATATATGATGGGCCACACATACTTAACATCGATTCATTTTTAAACCTTCATGGCTGATTCCCTAAATAGAAAGGCCTCCAGAGAAGAAGCAAATTTAGGAGCCTTGGTGGCACAGCGGACTAAAGTGCTGTCAAGTAGCATTTAGCTGCCAGCTGCCTGCAATTACTGCAAGTTCAAATCTCACCAGGCTCAAGGTTGACTCAGCCTTCCATCCTTCCGAGGTAGTAAAACGAGGACCTGGATTGTGGGGGCAATAAACTGATTTTGTATAAAAAGAACACCGCTTGGGGGTGGGGGGGACGAAAACCCTACTAAGCAGGTATATACAAAAGTATGAAGGCTATTGCTTAACGCATTGTAAGCCGCCCTGAATCTCCAGAGAAGGGCGGCATATAAATTGAACCAATAAATAAATAAATAAATATGGGTCAAAGCTTTCTGAGCCTCCTTTCTGAGGATCACTGGATCTTCAAAATGGAGATTTCTTAATGAAGACATCTCATTCGAAACTGGACTTGGAACATTGGGTCTGCTCCATACTCAGACTAGAAAATTAGAGGCCAGGAAGAATTAAAATGTGAGATTTCCCCATTAAAAAGATCTAGTTGTCACCAGGCTTTGCTTCAGAATGAAGAGACTGATGTGCAGGACAATATCATGGTCAGGTTCAGTTGATTTAGGATATAAATAGATTAATATAGTTCTTGCCAAACAAGAAAATTATAATTAATACTTTTAGAACAGCCAAACTGAGAATGAAATCATGATTATATTTACATATATATTTAAAGCTTTTCTACTCTGCTTTTTTATAATTAAAAACAATTGCTTAATTTTGGAGTAACTCAAATTAATAGGCCATCTTCAAATTCCAGCTTTCTTCAATGGCTTATTCTAGAAAAGAAATTATAATTAATGGAAGATTGCTTAATTTGCATGCCACTTCGCATATAGCTAGAAGCAGAGGGTTATGAGTACCTTCAAGAAGCTTGTTCATTCCTAAATTTGTGCCCTTGAAAATAGAATGATCTAAATCTGACCAGTCAGTGTGTAAATTGATTGATTTGTGTTCATTTATTTATGCTGGAACCTATCTTGCACCAAGTGGGTTCCTCCAAGTCTCTTCTCCAATCTATTAAACGCTGCAATCTTGTGGAATCTCAGAAGTGTGCCTTGTCTGTTGTGGCCCCTGGTGCTCTGAATCAGCATCCCCCAAGAGATAAGGATGGCACTTTCTCTAAGGATCTGACAAGTTTTGAAAACTTGGCTTTGGCCTAGGCCTGGGGTTGTTGTTTATGATTTGATTAAGGCTCCTGTTTTATTTGATTTTGTTGTTTATCAGATTATTTTAGTTGGGTCTGTCTGTCTGATTTTATGTTTTATCTGTTTTTATGTTTTCTCTAGTTGAATATGCTGCCCAAAATCCACAAATAAATAAAAATGAGGCAGAGTGTCTGTCTCTTTTGAAGAGGGGAGATCAAAGATATAACCTGTTTGTTATTTCTTCTTAATAGGATACGCCACAGAAGCAAGCACCAACATACTGCATAAAGAAGATTTCTCTTTTATTATTGGGGCCCCTCGCTATAATCACACTGGAGCTGTCTTTGTGATGGAAACTGATGGTCGCATGGATCTTCAGAAGAGACTGCTGCTCGTTGGCAAGCAAGTGGGTTCTTATTTTGGCAGCTCCATTGCTGTGGCTGACCTCAACAGAGATGGGTGAGTCCGTGAGAGGGTGAACTTGAAAGAAGTATTAAATGGCTTTATTTTGATATATAGGTAAAAATGACTGCATTTCCCCATTAATAGGTGGCAGGACTTAATCATTGGAGCACCACACTACTTTGACCAGAAGGAGGAGAAAGGTGGGGCTGTCTATGTATACATGAACCTTGGGGGAACATTCTCCAACCATCCCAACCTCACACTGACTGGACCTAGCGGCTCTTCCTTTGGTTTCTCTGTGGCTCACATTGGCGACATTAACAAAGATGATTTTCAAGGTTAGACTTGAACACGGTTAGACTGTGAACACTTGTCACAGTGTTATGTTTTACTATTTACTGAGGCACATCTTGTTGGACTGTACCCTTTTATATGGCCTAAAGCAGTATTTGTGTTGGGAAACTGCCAGTCAGGTAAAAAGGAAGGATCAAGTGGGGAATTATCCTTGAGTCATTGTTCAGTCACGAGAAACTTACATCTAACCTACCCTAAGTTCCATGGAACCAGGGGTGGGTTCTACTTACCTTTACTACTGGTTGGCAATGAGGCCGCACACGCTCTCTTGCTTCACTCGCACATGCACATGCTCTTCTGTGCATGTGCAGAAGCGTTCTGATGACGTCAGGGTTGGTGGGTGGAGCCTCCCTCCGATTTTACTACCGGTTCTGTAGAACTGGTCTGAACCGGGGGCAACCCACCACTGCATGGAACCTTATCTGTTTGTTCCCAAGGGAAGGCAAGCAGTCTGGGAAGATTCTAGTATTATAGGCAAAACACAATAAAGTAGACAACTATTGGAATTTCAGGGTTTGGTTGTAAATTCCGCACAATTCAGCATAATTTGTAAATTTGAACAATGTGATAGAATGTTGTCTGGAATGGTAGGAGGGGAGGATTCACTCCCAGAAGATAAAGAGACAGAGCTTGAAAAGTTTAGTAGGCAGAAAGAAGTCTGTTCCCTTCTTTAGCAGTTTACAGAGTATATTTATAGTTATGCAGGTAATTGCTTTAGTCTGGCAAGATTCTGTCTGTAGGCAAGTAACTTTACATGTTATTCTTACTATAGTTCTTTGGGCCTGAAAGAACTGAATGAAGGGTAATTAAATAAGGACCATTTGTACTATATATCTAATATCAGGGAAAGAGAAACAAATTCCTTTCATAGTTATAGTTCAGCCATGCATGCACACACAGAGAAACACAGACAAAGACACACACAGACACACACATGCATTGATTTTGTCTTAGTTAATTGTCAATCTATATTTATACTGCCCACCTGCAATCACTTTCTCAGCAGAATTCCTTCAAACTTTCCTTTGAATAGAGACTCAAATATTATAAGGTTGAAAATTCCTTGTTAGATTTTTGACTAGTGATGGGAAGTAATACAAATACTTGTTCTGAAAAGTTATGTTAAAGTACACTAGATACAGTTCCAGTGGGAACCTAAAAAGAAACTATCTAGATGAAGTATAATGAGAACTATGAGATCTCATAAAATGGAAGTTCTCCTTCCTCTTTGTATTCTTTCCTTTCAGATATTGCCATTGGGGCACCCTATGAAGGTTTGGGGAAAGTATATATCTACCAGAGTGGTGTAGGTGGCCTTGCTAATAAGCCACAGCAGGTAAAGACATCTTTATCATTATCATCTCTTTATCATCCTTATCTCTTTGGGTAAAGCATATTTGTAAATTTATGTGCAGCATGTCCCCATATTGTTCAGGAAAATTGTTTGGCAGCCAACCCCACAATGGGTATGTTAATAAGGTTGTTGGATGAGATATGACTGGTAGTTATAGCCTCCTTTTTATTTTGAGGAAAGTCTTCAATTTTCTAATATGTGACACTAACTGGTTACCTTTGGCAATGACTAACTTTCACTAATCTCAAGCAGATACATGATTGGTACCAGGTTTCCTGAAAGAGTCCCCACTTTGAGACTGGGAGAAGCAGTTGGTTGTCCCTCATTTTCAGAGAGCTGAAGTCCCAGACTCTTGTTTTTCAGTGATGGTGCAGCACTTCCCTATTAAGATTTCTTTGCCTCCAATTTATAAAATATTCTTACATATATTACATCTTATTATCTTTGTGAGTTGCAAGACTATTTTGTAATTGTCACAGGATGTAATGTTTGATTAATTTACTACATACATGAATATGTCAACACTGCAAGTCCCAGAACTCCTCTCCAGTCAGATCAATGTAACCTAATGATGTTAATAGTAGTCCTATTGTTCATATATACTTGGCCACCAACAGTTCTATCATGGATGGCAGTATATACAAACTAAGCAGAGATCTTAGTCTCATTTGTAAATATCCTTCTTGCATCTCATTTTCTGCACCTCTTTGCAGATCATTAGTGGGGAAGATTTTAATCCTGTCATCAAGACCTTTGGTTACTCCTTCAGTGGTGGAATGGATGTGGATGGAAATTCCTATCCTGATCTCCTGGTGGGAACTCTCTCAGAAAATATCTTGCTACTCAGGTAAGTGTGGTAAAAGGGATTAAAAGCAGTCTTGTTTTTTTTTTCCTATTTATTCATTCTGATTAGTAACAGAATAACAGAGTTGGAAGGGACCTTGGAGGTCTTCTAGTCCAACCCCCTGTTTAGGCATGAAACCCTACACCACTTCAGACAAATGGTTATCTAATCTCTTCTTAAAAACTTCCAGTGTTTTTACAACAGAGCATTTACAGCTTCTGGAGGCAAGTTGTTCCACTGGTTAATTGTTCTAACTGTCAGGAAGTTTTTCCTTAGTTCTAAGTTGCTTCTCTCCTTGATTAGTTTCCACCCATTGCTTCTTGTCCTACCCTCAGGTACTTTGGAGAATAGCTTGACTCCTATTTCTTTGTGGTAGCCCCTGAGATATTGGAACACTGCTATCATGTCACCCCTTCTTTTCATAAGACTAGATATATCCAGATCCAGCAACTGTTCTTTATATGTTTTATCCTCGGGTCCCCTAATCATCTTTGTTGCTCTTCTGTGCACTTTTTCTAGAGTCTCAACAACTTTTTTACATCATGGCAACCAAAACTGGATGCAGTATTCCAAGTGTGGCCTTACCAAGGCATTATAAAATGGTATTAACACTTCACATGATCTTGATTCTATCCCTCTGTTTATGCAGCGTACAACTGTGTTGGCTTTTTTTGGCAGCTGCAGCACACTGTTGGTTCATATATAAGTGATTGTCCAGTAGGACTCCAAGATCCCCCTCGCAGTTATTACTATCGAGCAAGGTATCACCTATACTGTACCAGTCATTTGGTTTTTCTTGCCTAAATGTAGAACATTACTTTTTTCATCACTGAATTTCATTTTGTTAGATAGTGCCCAATGTTCAAGTCTGTCAAAATCCTTCTGTATCTTAAACCTATCTTCCGGAGTGTTGGCTATTCCTGCTAGCTTGGTGTCGTTTTTTCCTTTTTTGAAGATAGGAACTACATCAGCTCTTTTCCAGTCCTCTGCCAGTTCCCCGGTGCTCCAGGATCTTTGAAAGATATAGTTCAATGGTTCTGAGATCTCGTCTGCCAGTTCCTTCAGAACTTTGGGGTGTAGTCCATCTGATCTAGGGTAGACAGGTGCTCACTTACCATTTTCTTCCCTATTTTAACTTGTGTTCCTAGTCTGTTTTTTGTGGTGCTATTTTTGATAGGTTGGACTATTTTTTCCCTTTGTGTAAAGACAGATGCAAAAAGCAAGTTAAGTAGTTTTGCTTCCTCCCTGTTGTTTGTCACCTTCTTGTCACTTTATCCCAGCAATGGACCAATTGTTTCCTTGCCTTTTTTCTTGTTTTTAACATATTGGAAGAAGCTTTTTTTGGTTATTTTTTACATTTGTCACAAGCCTTTGTTCGTTGTGAGCATTAGCTTTCCTCACTTCATCTTTGCAGGCTCAGGCTATTTGCTGATATTCTGCCTTAGTTATGTGCCCCTCTTTCCACTTTTTATACTTGTCCTTTTTGTCATTCAATTTGTCAGAGAGTTCTTTATGCAACCATGCTGTTTTCTTTTGAGAGCTGTTATTTTTCTTCTTCATTGGTATTGTGCTAGACTGGGCTTTTATAACGTCACTTTTCAAAATTTCCCAAGCTTCTTGAGTTGTTTTCTCCTTGAGGATTCTCATCCATGGAATCCTTTCCAGGCTCTCTCTAAATCTATTGAATTAGCTCTCTTAAAGTCAAAGACTCTAGTTTGACTTTGTTCTATTGCTTGTGCTTGCATAATGTTGAATTCCAATATTGCATGATCACTCCCCCCCAAGGTTCCTGTAGCTTCAACACCTTTTATCATTTCATCTCTGTTAGTGAGAATTAAGTCCAATATAGCTGATCCCCTTGTTCCCTTCTCTACTTTTTGAGAAAAAAAGTTGTCTGCTAGGTTTGTCAGGAACCTGTTTGATCTTCCACTTGGTGCAGAGTTTGTCTGCCAGTTGATGTCAGGGTAGTTAAAATCCCCCATAACCAGGGGTGAAATCTTTTTTGCTACCGGTTCTGTGGGCGTGACTTAATTAGTGGGTGGGGCTTGGTAGTAAGGTGATTGGGGTGGCGTGGCTTGTTGGTCAGGTGGGCGTGGCCAAGTCAATGTCACTTCTTTGCCCTTTTTTAACTTACAAAACACAACACAACACAACTGGCTCACCCACAATATAAAAGCAGCTGTGCTAGACCCAAAATGATCCGTGCAACAAGCAGGAACCTCACACAGCCACAAAAAGCCCAAACAACCAACTTTCACACTTTACACTTTACACATACAGTTTAGTGAGATTTTGTGTTTTCTGTAGTTAGAGTGAAACACTACGGAAGCACACTAAATCTCAGAAAGCTGCACAATATTATTTTATTTTTATTTATTTTTATTTTTATATAAAAGCAGCTAAATTTAAAACTTCCTAAACCCTAAATGGCTAGGTCTAAAAAAAGAACTAAAAAAAAATCCCAATTAACTATTTTTTTTTAAAGCTCCCAAAGGGGGAAAAAACTTACCCAATAGAAGAGGGGTCTCCAACCTTGGCAACTTTAAGACTTGTAGACTTCAACTCCCAGAATTCCTTAGCCAGCTTTGCTTTGCTGGCTGAGGAATTCTGGGAGTTGAAGTCCACAACTCCCTGCCTGCTTGATTGCAGGCAGGGAGATTCAGTTGCTTGCTGATGCAATGGATTGCAGGGATTACAGCAAGGCGTTGCGACCAGCAGCTAAGTTAAGTAAGCTGAGTGGAGGGAGGGGGAGGGATTTTTGCTGGCAACTCAGCTGGGGTCCTCAGAGCTTGGATGGTCAGAGCCATGTAAAAGAAAAAAAAGGCTCTGATGATCGCGCGGCTCAGCTGGGCATGGGGGGCGGGGGCAGGGATTTTTGCTACCAGTTCTCTGAACTGCCCGCCGCCATCGCTACCTACTCGCCCGAGCCGGTCCGAACCGGGAGCATTTCACCCCTGCCCATTACTATTGTGGTGTGCTTCCTACATACCTTAGTTAACAGACTAGCAAAAAGTTCATATATTTCCTCTGTTTGGTTGGGTGGTCTATAGTATACACCTATGGCAATGTCATTTTCCCCCCCTTTTACATTGACCCAAATGCATTTCAGGCAGTTTTCAGCATTGTTGTGCTCTATTTCTGCAGAAATGTAGTTGTTTCTTATATACAGTGCAATTCCATCTCCTCTTTTGTTTGGTTTATTTCTTTTAAATAATTTAAATCCCTCTAGCTGTATGTTCCATTTGTGGGTTTCATCCCACCAAGTTTCCGTAATGGCAACAATATCATATCTGTTCTCATTTACTTGAATTTCTAATTCACCCTGGTTATTCCTCATACTCTGTGCATTGGTGTATAGACATTTGAGTCCATTTTGACTGACCCTATGTTTACTTTCTATATAACCTGTGTTGTCCCCTACTGTGTCACCATCTATTTGATTAGTGCACATGGTATGGCACTCACTATTAAATGCTTGTTTTTGTTTGACATCAAGGTTGATATTCTTACCCACCTTAACATCTATATTACATGCATTGATAACCCTAATAATTTTAGATTGCTGGGGACAGAAATGTTCTGTATTAATTAATTCTCTGTCCCCACTGTTCAGTTCAAATGTTTATCTAGAAAATCTGTGAATTTAACGCCAAGTAACTCAATCCCTTCCTTTGATGGATGCAAACCATTTCTTTTGTAGTTTTTCATTGGACCAGGTACAGATACCATGACTAATATAATCAAAGTCTTCCCTTTTACATAATTCCTTTAGCCACATATTAAACTCCAGTATACTCTGGCCTTAAAAAAGGAAAATCTTTTTTAAGAAGAAGGAAATTCCAATCTTTCTATTAGGGCAGCCTTTCCAGCCCTCAGCTATTCATGGTCATGGTGGATTGATGAATATGAAGTCAATGTGCCTCTCACCTAGGGAGCATCATTTTGAGGAAGACTGTATTATCAATTACCCTGATTCAAAAGAGTAGCACTTTTATAAATCATATCCTGGGCAAAGGAACAAATGATCACATACAACAGCACATTTTCTTCACCACCGAGTAATTGAAATCACCATCGTGATTAGGGATCATTTATTTTATTTATGCACTACATCTGTATTGACTCTTTGTGGGCTTCTGCTGTGAATCATGGCTGACTGAAGATGTCTCCGCAAATAAGCAGAAATGACAGCCATTGTGTAGAATGAAAGAACAGCCATAGATTGGTCCTTCAAAGCTTTCTGGAGAATGAGAGATTGCCCACAAATGTTCTGAAGGGCAGCTCCTCGCTAGGAGATTGTAAAACAGTGATCTCTGTGGGTTGGAGTGCCAGAAGCTGAGGGAGATGACATCTTTGCCTTCATCTCCAGGGGATTCTTCAATAGGGACACTAAGCTAGCCAAACTTACGTTTTAATCAATTTTAGAAATGTTCAATTTAAACATTTTATGGATATTAGAGACCTTGAGAATGGCAAACCATTTGGTACCTGGATTTCTCTGAAATTGGACATTTAATTTGATACCTCTTAGTTTCTCTGAAATTAAGAAATTTTAAACAGAGATTTAGGAATTTAAAATAATATACAAATGGCAAAAAGTTAAAAAATGGGTGGGTGGGTTTGATTTAAGAACTTTTTTAATACCAGAGAGATTTGCAATATTGGTTATTTTTCTCTTGTGAGGTTTGAAAAACAAATATACTGTGAAATTAAATAATTTACTGAAATGGAACCAAACCCGTATCAGAACTGAGGCTTGATGAAAGTTGCTACTAGAGGGAACTAAAAAGGCAGGCAGAAAAGAAATACAATGGTTAAACTGGCTATAACTTTTTCCTATCTTAAAAGATATTTTTGATTGATAGCCACTGGGATATTAATAATTAAAATCTGAAAAAGTATACAAATCTCATTGGGCAATTTTTTTTTACAAAATGTTGAGAATTTTTTTAAAAAAGTTTTACCTGACATAGACATTATAGAGTTTGAAGGCAAGGAAGACAACAAAAGACAAATCTGAATACGGAAGAGCTGCCACAAGAAATTCTGGATGATGCCTCTTTATGGGAAACCCCTCTTTATGGGATTTCCAAACGAACTGTTGATGAAAACTATGAAAACTCCTCTTGAATGTCAAAGATTGATGAAAGATCAAATCCTGCAATGCCATTAAACATGGAGATAGGAGGGGTTTTTTTTATTTGTAACTTTAAAAGAGAGCAAAAAGTTATTATAATAGCTTATGCTTGGTATGGTGAAAGTTAGAAAACACTTCTTTATTATTGTCTTCTTTTCTTTTTCTTTTTTCTGCACCTTCTGAACTTTTCCGTTTATTCCAGTTTAATTTGTATTAGTTTTTATGTATTAAAAACTTCCATTAAGAATGCACTGATTCATTTCACTGTTGTTTTCCCTTATGCTTGTTGTCCTTCTCTTTCTGCAGAGCCCGTCCAGTGATCAATATCCTAAACAAGACTTTTACTGTTACTCCAAGCCCTCTGGACCCAAGCAAATGTACTCAAAACTCTTGGTAATAACTTCCCTATAAATGTTCTTTTGATTTTTAAATGCCTGAATACATGGATATTCAAGGTGTGTGACAACACAAATATGATACAACTGAGTATATTTAGCCTACAGAAGGAAGATGAAAGGGTAGTGTGTTGCCAACTTTCAGTTTATTTTAGAGGATGTTGGAAAGAATTAGGAGAACAATTGTTTGCCCTCCCCACCGAGAGCAGGGAGGAGAAACAAGAGTGTTTATATAAAATGTGGTGAGATTCAAGTTAGGTTTGAATGAGAAAAACATCTGGCAATCAGAGGAAAAGGCTACATTGGAGCAAGCTGTATGGGGACATTGTGGAGTCCTTTTCCTTGCTTGATTTTTTTTAAAGAATAAAAGTTGAATAAGAGACTTGTAGATTTGTTTTTGGAACAGGGCATCCTGTTCCATAGAAGATAGAGGACTTGATAAGAGGCAAGTTATTTCAGGTTTAAACCAGCTGGGTGGAATTTTAATCTGCCAGATGTGATTACCGTATTTTTCGGAGTATAAGATGCTCTGGAGTATAAGGCACACATTAGCTTTTGGGGAGGAGAACAAGAAAAAAAATCTGCCTCTGCCTACCAGCATCCGTCGGTATTCATCTGGCTAGCATCCTTGCAGCAAACAGCAAACAGCCTGGTCAGCTTCAGCACGTTATCGCAGCCTGATTCAGCTGATTGGTGGTTGGATCGGCCTCCGGAATACTGCCAATCAGCTGTTCCAGGCTGCAGGGATTGCCAGAGCCCATCATTGCCTCTGCACATCATGTTTTTGGCGTCCGCATGCCCCGTTTTTGGCCTCTGCATGTTGCATTTTTGGCTGGTTCTAGGTGGCAGGGATTGCCGCTAGGAACCGGCTGTAAATGTGACGTGCGGAGGCCAAAAATGGGATGTGTGGGGGATGAAAACATGATGCATGATGCTGAAAACGCAACATGCGGAGGCTGTGATCGCCGGCGATGTGCTATGGCGATCTCCGTAGCTTGGAGGAGACCGAAAACATGACGCGTGGAGGCCAAAAATGGCCGAAGGGGGGCGGTGGGTGGGTGGGGCTTTGGCAACATTTGGTGTATAAGATGCACCACAATTTTCACCCACTTGTGGGGGGGAGTGCATCTTATACTCCAAAAAGTACGGCAGTTTTTCCCCCTCCAATAGTTCTATCCAGCATGCCATTAGTTTGAAGTTGGCATCCTTCAACATCTGGAAGTGTTAGGCATTTGTAACTTCTAAAGTAAGGCTTAGTTTAAGGGTGATGGGGTTTATTAATGTTGATTTTGTCAACATCTATTTTTTCTAACTTTAAATTCATGTTGGTTCCTTTCTGTTTTAGTTAGCAATTTTTCCTCAAAAATATAATTGCAGAGATGGCATATATAAAAATCATATCTGACTTGTCAGATATGCTGTGCACTGAACACATTTCTTAGCTTCTTAGCTTTTCTTAAGCCAGTTTCTAAGAAAATATGAAGTAGCACCGAATAAAAATGAAAAGATATTGTTAAGAGTGTGAGAACATGAACAAAAGGGGCATCTCTTCTCTAAAGTGGGATTGTTATAGCATTATTTGCATGTAGTATTTCCCTCTTTAGTTAATTATAATTATTAATTAAAATTAGCCTTTCCTAGCCTGGTACTGTCCAGAGGCTGATGACTAGGAATTCTGAGAATCGCAGTCTCTATACATTTCCTGGGCACCAAGTTGGAAAAGCTCCATTGTACAATGCCAACTCTGTAAATAAATAAGATGAAATTGTCCTTGACTAAAATAGACAGAATAACAGCTTTGACAATTTTCTGATTCAAAGCAGATGAGAGAGAGAGAGGACGATCTTCCGTTTGCATGAAAAAATAACTTTTTCCTCTTCTCTTAGCAAGAATTGATTTTTCAAAGAAAGCTTTGGGCTTCTGAAACATCATTCCTTGCTGCAAACAAAACAGGGCGATCCATCTAAAAGTTTGGCACTGGTTAATTACAAGATAAAGGACTTCCTAATATAATTCAAGTGCTGTTGCTATAGTTTTGATATGCCAGGACTAGAGCTTCCTATGTGGTGCCATTGACTTTGAATTTAGGGTCATGTGTTTCTCTATAAAGACTTTGAGTTTGTTCTGCTCCAGCTATGGACCCCAAAGAAGGAAGCACACACAAAGTCTGTACAAACCTTACTTTACTAAAATAAAATCAGTTTTTTTTTTCAAACAAAGGCTGTTAATTAACTTTCTTAACAGCCTGCAAGAATCCAAATAATAAATAATTTTAATTTTATTATGGTTGGCAGAAAGCCCAGAAGCAATTTGCAGAGAACTAAGATCAAGGCACAAAGGAGAGTGAACGGTTGTTCCCTGCAAATTGCTTCAGTCGGCGTTCCTCCTTAAATAGGCTAAGGGAGTGGCCAATTAGCCCCAAGACTTACTCTCGAGGAGACCTCCTCCTGAGGAGCCACTCCTGCCTTTTGGCAGCTCTGCACGCCCGTGCATCGAGAAGAGGCTCCTCCTCTTCGTCCTCTTCACTTAAGGGAGCTTCTGGAGGTTCTGAAGGCCCTAGCTGAATCCCCGCCTCTGGCACCACATCTTCTCCAGCCTCATTGTCCGACTCAAGTGCCAGCTGCACAGGCTGCTGGTGCAGCATCACCCCAGCCTCCTCGCTGTCCGAATCAGCCACCAGCCGCACAGACCGCGTACAGGCCGCAACAGGGTTTGGGTTTTGTTTGGAGGAACCTCAGTTATCTGTCCCTGCAGATTATTTACAGAGTACCTTGTTTTTCTTTCTTTCTCCTTTCCCTTCTTATCTTTTCATTTACAGCATGAAGGTAGAGCTCTGCTTCTCCTATTCCCAAAGTGCTGGAGATCCCAAATACAAGGAAACTATCAGTGAGTAGAAGTGGGAAGATTTGTTCCATTCAGGAGAATTCATTTGTAAGGAAAGAGGGTTGGGAGGGTGTCTGCTGGCCCTAGAATTTTTTTCCTTAAGGTAGGAGAGCCAGTTTCTCTATCAATATCTTTAGTGGTGTATTTGTTTTTTGTTGGCATGCCTTGATTCGAATTAAGTATGAGATTACAATATAGTCACTTACAAACTATAATTGATACCAGCACCTCCATTCCTAAGCAGTGTGGTTAAGTGAAACGTCACATGACTTTGCCAACTTACGACATCAGTTCCAGTTGCAGTTGTTAAACAAATCACCATAACTGTGATGTCACATGACCATGACTTACGATTTCATGCTGGCTTCTCCATTGATTTTGCTTGTCAAGCATCTGAGACTGCAGGGAATCTGTGATGGCTACAACTTCGAGGACCCGCCATAAGTTTCATTTTTCAGTGTCATCATAACTTTGAATGATTACTGAATGATTCTAGGATCGAAGCTACTGAATCTTGGTAATGTCCCTGATACATTTTTTTTCTTCACTTCAGAGCTGGATTACATTGTGGAAGCTGACCGGTACCGCCGGCCACCCCGTGTATATTTTGCTGAAACCAACTCTGCAATCTACAAGGGACACTTTTCCATGCCAAGCAAGTGCCAAAACCTGAAAGTCCTTCTACAGGTTAGGAATAATCAGTTCAAAACATAAAAAGGAGTAGTTGAGCTAAATACCATCTTGCCTGCAATATTTCGTTAGGTTGTTTCTATCCTGTCTCCTTTTTCCTAAAAACTTTAGCATTATTTAAGTTTAGTTGTTTATATTTATGTAATGCAGGGCCAGCAGTACAGGATTTATTTATTTTTTACATAAATTGGTGCTGCCAGGGACTGCTAAGCATAGAGTAGTGATGTGATTACAGTGTTATAAATAATAAGAACTGAATTTTTGCCTAAGGAGGAGGGTTGGGGAGGTTTTCTAAAATTGATAAATATGTACTGTATGTAAAGCAGTTCCTTTACATGGCTTCCTGGATGTATAATGGCTAACACTGGATAGTTATATTTCTAACATGTTTGGAGGGGACCAGCCTGATGAAAGGCGTCTCTAATCATTGTATCACTTGTACTGACGGAAAATATTTGATAGGATAATTTAGCATGATAAGCCAATTTACATTTCAACAAAAGAATACCAATGTGATGATCACAAAAATGTGATGATGAACAATCAGTATGACCTGGGGGGGGGGAAATGGGGAGGACCCTCAGGTCTCTCCATAAACTACACAGAAATTCAGAACTGAGTTTAGGACTCTCTGAAATAAATTATTGCTCATTCTGCAGGATGACATACGAGACAAGCTGCACCCCATTGCGTTCTCTATGAAGTACTCTCTTTCAGAAAAGCCCCGACGATTCCAGATGGGATTACGCTCCCTTAATGCATTTCCTGTTTTGAATGATGATCAGCCTCGTGAAAACCATACTGAGGTTAGTTCTTCCTTCTCTTTAGTTTTTCCTCCTATTCTTTTCACCTTTCCTCTCCTGGGTTGAAATGGCCATGTAGATTGCACACTAATATTGTAGTGTTCAACTAGTGGTGGGTGGTAGGCTTTTGCAAGAAGCAAACAGGTGATGTGTTTGTAGGAAGAATTTGTGTGCATGTCCCTGACTTATCCATGCAGATGAAAATTATTTGTAAATAGGCAGGTTCAGTTTTCTGTATGACTTAATGGCTCACCTACCAATCAGACCTCTGGTACCATCTGGTGGAACAGATTAGTCATTATCTTTAAATGTTAGAATAAATTTCATTCTAGAAAAATATGTTCATATACTTTAACAAGATTGAACCTAAATTATGTTTAGCGTATGTGTAGAAATATAATATGATAATTTTAGTGTCAGTTACCCTTAATATAATTCTTTTGGTTAATCCAATCAAATTTAGGGAGTTGCAGTTTTAGACATTGGTGGAAATCCACTATAGCAATCCATAAAAATTGTAGGCTTAGCTGTTGCTTCTTTTTTCTGCCATCTCCTGGAGAAGCAAGAGCTAAATAGATTGGTTCAAGAAGGATATACATAAAAGGAGATTGGAGACAGTGACTATAAAGAAGTAGACTCATTGAGAGGAGAGATCATAAACAATACCCATTAATTTAGCAGTCTGTGAGGCCTTCCTATCTGACTCATAATCTCTTCTCCTTACATCATAACAGACTTTTAAAAGCTTTCTTTGAAAGAAGCTCTCCCAAAAGTTTAATTGGAGAGTGGGTGGGGAAGCATTTTTAGATGTTCACACTTGGGAAGAACAAAGAGTACTGCCTTTTCTGTGCATCGTATTTATTTATTTTTTGCTTATTTGATTGATTTCTACAGTCACCCATCTCAGCAATGACTCTGGGTGATTTACAATTCAAACATTCAATATTATCCTTGGAAACACCCTCTACAAAATTAGTTTTTAAAAGAAAACTTTGGTTAGCATCAGTGACATAGTACATATGTAGTAAATGTGCAGAAAGATGATAATTGTGGCTCAGTTGTAGTGAAGGATTGATCCTCCGTGCATACAGAGCCCTTCTTCTAAAAGTCTTCCTTCCCATGCTAATGTATTCCAGTTTATCTTTTAAAATAGCTTCCTCTGGCCATGCTTCTTGAAGGAGACGTGAATTGCGATCCAGTATTTCTGGAGAACATCAAGTCAGAGAAAGTTGATATACACAATGCAGCCTACAAACTAAATGAACATCCTTTCCCCTGTTTTTTGTCTCATTTTGTTGACTCAAAATGTCTGTTTTCAGATTCAGTTTCAGAAGGAATGTGGAACTGACAGCCAATGCAATAGCAACTTGCAGATTCAGGCACTCTTTCTAAATGAAAAGAACCAAAATCTGCCCAGGTAAGAGAATTTGGCTTATTGAGGGAAGGATGAGATGAGGATGAAGAAGAACATGTGAAACAACTCTAATAGTTATAAATAAATAATCATAAATTTGGGGTGAATTTTGTCTAGTTCTGAATGCTTTCTGAATCATGCTCATCATTATAATCACTAAAGATAGATACCTTTTTGAGAGTTTTCTTTCAGGGTAATAAATATAGTAGCTCCTAGATGATGTATGTGCTGAGTTTTAGAAAAATACTGGATAAAATCATGATCAGTGCATGCTACTGTTATCACGGAGATGACCTGCCCTAGAACCCTTTGACTGGCTGGCCTAGATAAGTGAGGTTTCATCACCAGACAGTTAAAACATTGCACAGTTCTGGAAGCATTTCAGTAGAAATTGTCTCTCAGCTGGGGACAAAAGCACATAATTGATGAGTTCCTACTTCTCGCTCTAAGGCAGGATAAGTCACTTGGTCTCTTCTAGGAGTTTTGGATGATGATTTCAAAGAATCCCAATGTTCCCTGAAAATTATGAAGTTTATAGTCCTAAATTTTGGGGCAGTACTAAATTGCCCATTGTGGTCCTAGACACTTTTGAGCAAAGTTATGCAATGAATGGAGGAGCATATATGGTTTTTTTAAATCATCCTCCCTCAATTGTACTATTCTTTTCCATTATAGACGAGATGGTGTGCAGGTGTTACAGTACAGCTCGGAAGTCAAGAAACTGAATTTGAGCATCAAAGTTACTAATAAGCCAACATCATCGATCAATGGAGAGGATGCTCATGAGGCCCTCCTCAATATCACTTTCTCACCCTCTCTGTTGCCTTCTTCAATTCGGCCGGTGGGTATTTTCTGAAAGTTGTGATAGCATTAGGTTACTGTTCCATTCATTTCTGCACTTAATGGCTTTCCAGAAAAATTTACAAGTTCTAATAGAAGAGAATACATGTAGCCCAGGGCTGAACTGTTGAGTCCTTTGTACTCTCTCACACAAATTTACAAGTGTTGCATTAAGTGATGTTTTTCTTTATTAATTCCTGGATGGAAGCATTTCTAACAGATCAGAATAATATTCTTCAAGATTCATAATTTCCAGTTACTTTGCAGATGAAGCTAATGACTAGCCTGAAAGTATACAAGTAATGCCATGGCTGAATTCAGAGGTGGTATTCAGCAGGTTTTGACCAGTTCTATAGAACCGGTAGTGGAAATTTTTTGGAGAACCGGTAAATACCACCTCTGACTGGCCCCGCCCCCATCTATTCTCTGCCTCCCGAGTCCCAGCTGATCGGGGGGAATGGGGATTTTGCAGTAATCTTCCCCTGGAGTGGGGAGGGAATGGAGATTTTACAGTATCCTTCCCCTGCCACGCCCACCAAGCCACACCACGCCACGCCCACCAAGCATGCCACGTCCACCAAGCCACGCCCACAGAACCGGTAGTAAAAAGTTTTGAATCCCACCATTGGTTGAATTGTATCAACTAAGTGAACAGACTAAGATATGTCAAGGTTCAAAAGCTTTAATGAGAAATGCACTATTTTTGTTGGAGCTAAGCACTACGTCAGCTTTCCATTAATAAATTGGGCTCCACTACAGATGCAGTAAAATCATATCAAAAATCTCAAAAATGAAATAGGAATCTAAAAACAAAAGTAAGATTCAGTGTTGCACAAGACTTAAGAGAAGTAGACTAGTTTTTCCCAATATCGGATGATATTATAGAGACAAAGTAAGAATGATCTGGTCATATATGCAGTATCATACATCTGAACTGAGAAATGTAGTGGATTAAAGGAACAACAAGGATTGCTTAATAAGAGAAGGAATCTATCACAGCAAAAAACAGGAAAAATAAACAATGATCTTAAAGAAGAAAAGAATCAAGATAATAAATTAGGATGTATTTATACATTGTTACTTAAACATGACACAGAGCTAGAACAAATAACAAACTTTATGATAAAATGGATGCAAAACTTCAAAGAAGTAATAATAGTGGAACAATGGCATGAATTGTGTGTGTGTGGGAAATCAATGAATTTTACAACATGTTACAGTTTAAGGGAAAATTGGTATATAATAGTCTATACCATTATAGATTGATTATAGATAACTGTCAATTAGTGCCATGATTGATTGGAAATGCCATAACAAATATATGGTGATTCTAGAAAAAGATCCAAAAGTACTATAAAAAAACACATCAAAAAATTCAACATTTTTTGAATTAAAACCCAAATATTTTTATTAGGTGTGATCCCATTGAAAAAATGAAATCTTTTCAATTTATTAAATACATGCCGACAGTGGCAAAAAATTGGTAGAGAGAAATCTCACCATCAATGCAGGATTGGGAGACTAAAATTTAAAAATAGTGGAAAAATTAACTGTATGTATTCACAGTAGAAGTGTAACCAATTAACAGTTGGGGTAAGAAAAAGAATTTTTTAATACTGTGTTTCCCCGAAAATAAGACCCTGTCTTATATTTTTTTGAACCCCAAAATAAGTGATTGGCCTTATTTTCAGGGAGGTCTTATTATTTTGGGGGCACATGGAGCAAGATGGGGCTCCTCCTGCTGTCTTACCTGATTTCCAGCTCTGCGTTTAAATATTTTTGGGGAGGGCTTATTTTCGGGGAGAGGCTTATTTTAGCGCATGCGCTCAAAAACCCGATTGGGCTTATTATCAGGAGATGTCTTATTTTTGGGGAAACAGGGTATATTTTTTCTTACAGTATTTTTTCCTTACGTTTTTGCATGTTTTGCCTTTTTGAAATTGTTTCTAAAAAAATTTTATGACCATTTTCACTTCAATCTTTGATCTTCTATAACATTTACATTATGTATATAAACTTATTTTTCCTTTTTTTTTCTTTCCTTTTTTGTTGTTTGGTTTATTAAACCGATAAAAAATATGTGAGCAAAGGATTTTTTGTTTTTATTTTTTTGTTCATATAGTAGATTAAATCTGGGGGATGTTGGGGCTATATCAAAATTCTGATCGCCATATGTAGGCCCTGGATTGTGTTTAAAACTTATTTTATTTCATAATTGCTTAAGAACCAACCATTCATTTCTAGTGGAATTGCAAATGGAGAAGGCATGGGGGCCATAAAACATTCTTCCAATATGTATACACACATACATACTCTAATATGCTTATACTGTATATACACACAGAGACATAAATATATGAATATATAAATATATAAAAGAAGGAAAACTGTTCATGGAAAGAATGTGTAGCATCCCTGACAATACATATTGTCAATACTGTATTGAGTTACACACAAGAAAAATAAGAAGGCAGTAAGACAATGAAGTGTGTCTTTTATTCCTTTCAGAGTGGGATCTGCACTGTCAAGGAGACAGTGATATGTGAACTGGGCAATCCCTTCAAAAGGAATCAGCAGGTAAATTGTTTCTGATTTGGACACTTTGGAAAAATGAATGTTCTGTTTTGTGGGTCTCATCAATGGGGTGTTTTCCTAATTGCTCAGGACCACCGATAATCTTATTTCAGCCATAAGTTTTTAAAAAATTTAATAAGCATCGACCGCAGTATTTTTAAAATTATTAATATTATTTGCTAGACTAGATTTACATCCTAGTTTTTAACTGGTGAACATTGGCAATGTGGAAAGAAGAATTTCTACTTTCAGCTTTATCAACAGCTATGCATCAAACACTGGACTCTTTATTAGCAAATTCACTGCAGTGATGGTGCATTTTATTTGATAATTCTCACAAAGAGTTCCAGTTCTTCTTCAACATGAATTAATAGCAAGAGATACTGGTATTGAAAAAGAATTTATTTATCCAGTCTAATGTTTGTCTTGAAAGGACAAGTCCATAGTCCAGACTTGAGGTTAAGAGTCATCAAAGCCAGGTCTTGCTCTTCCAGACAGTTCAGCAGATAAAAGATCATTCTTGCCACAGATGTTTGTGTAGTTAACCAGTGGAGGTCTACTGAACCTCAGATTACAAACACGATTAAAATATGTCATCCAAACCTTAACAAAATATTGCACAAGCTGACTTCTCTTCCAGGCAGAGCTGATTATCACATTTGAAATTGGTGGGATTACTTTATCTACCCAGAATATCACTGTCCAGATTCAACCTTCCACGTGAGTCTTGTCCTCTTATCAATAACGAATCCACAAAATAGTTTCTATTTTGGGTTAAGATAGTTCTCTCCTATTGCTATCTAGAACAGTTTATACCTACACACACACACACACCCTCACCCACCCACACACACACACACACACACACACATACTCATCCACATACATACCCCTCCCTCCATTGAAACCAGTTATTCTTGGATCAATATATCGAAGAGAAGAAAGTCACGAATACACCACTTTGAATATGTTACCACTATGAATATATCACACCACTTTGGTATGTTATATTAAAAGTGGGTGAAAGTACTTATAAATTACAACTTTATTATAAAGATTAACATAGGAAGGAGGAATGTTCTATATTTCTTCTTTCAGGAAGGCTGTTTCTATTACATTTTGTTTTGCATAAGCAAAATCAACAGTGTATATTAAATTGTAGTTTCTCTGTACTTTGTACTTGTAGTTTAAAGTACCTGTAATTTCTTTTCTTTTCTTTTATGTACACTGAGAGCATATGCCCCAAGACAAATTCCTTGTGTGTCCAATCATGGCCAATAAAAAATTCTATTCTATTCTATTCTATTCTATTCTATTCTATTCTATTCTATTCTATTCTATTCTATTCTATTCTATTCTATTCTATTCTATTCTGTTGAAAGTGGTGCAGTCCATTCTATTTTCTCGGGTCTGTAAATGATGTTTAATTGTATGTGTGGGTCAGATAGACTTTGGTGGCAAAAAGTAAGTCTGTAACTATGAACCACACCTACTGTAATATTGGTTCGTTCTAATATATAAAGCTCATAGGAGAATCACACAAGTACTATTTTTTTAATTTTTTGTATTGCACGAGGTAGTACAAAAATAGCAAGACTAGTACCAACTGATGGGAAGAAGAAGCCCTGTGTGGACTACTCTCAAACCTCTAAGATAATTAGATTCAAACCTCTAAGATAATTTGTAGTGATGATAAAATGCAACAATAGTTTACATTCTTTGAGATCACTTTAAAAATAATCTGATAGACCTTTTGACTGTTGAATTTTGTACAGGATAAGCTATCAGGAAGATCTCCAACTAGTGACAGCAGCTTTATTAGTGGACTACACAGTTGATGCATCACTAAGCATGTACGTATCTTCTTAAAGTTTTGACGTGAGTTAAGAAAGAAAAAAATATGGAAAGGGGGTTTCATTGCCAGACAAAATGCTATGCCAAATTTTGATGAATCCCAATGTATGTCTCCCTTTATAAAGAAAAACCAGTCTTTGAATATAGCTGGGCTTCTAGGTTACTCTACCTCAACATGGTGCTCTCCAGATGTATCACAGCTAGATAGGAATCTAGAGGGTTCCAATCCTAATATGTTTGGAGGGAAGAAATTTTGTAGGTCCAACTACTCTATGTTACTGAATAACACAAAAGGTTCCCAAGAAACAATGACCTCAACATTTAGCTTGTTAAAACAACCCAAGCTTGTGAAAATTTCTCTTCCAACTTTTCTATTTCTTCACGGTAGAATCAATCGGTGGCTTCAGTCCTACTTTAGTGGGAAAGTCATAGGAGAATCAGCCATGAAGCATGAAGAAGATGTAGGCAGTCCCATTGAGTTGGACTTCCAGGTAAGGGTCTACTGTGATCATTAAGCAAATCCATTCATTTGAAAGGACATTTTCTTCCAGAAACTGGCAAAAATGCCAAAAATCCACACACACAAAATCATGAATCACACCGTCACATGACTAGGGAACACCATGGCTGGTCATAAAGCTGACCTGTCTGACAAATGGTCACATAACTGCAGAGTGGTGCATGTGACTGAGTGGTGATTCATGATGTTTTCATGGGTTTGGGGCATTTTTTTGCCAATTTCTGGAAGAAAACATCCATTAAAAGGAATAGATTTTAGGAAAGCACCCATTTCATAGCTGTTGTAACTTTCAACAGTTGTAAAACAACCTGTTTGTTAACTGAGGACTACTTGTACTCAGCAGTCCATTTGGATAGATTTTCTTGATTTTCTCATCATGACAAAGTTGGACAAGGGGTTCTGACTTCAACTTGTCTAATACTTGTCTAATATTTATTTGTTTAGCCATAAGCTCCACCTGTGGTGTTCAGCACATTAGAGAATGAATGGTCCCTGACTATATATCAGACCTTAAATTGTTTCCATAGCAGTGACTTTTTCTTTTTTTACAGTTAGTAGTCCAACACCCAACCTTTGTCTCTTGTCATCCAGACATAGGAGCAAATAGTGGCTAAATCTAATTGTCTAATAGCAACAAGAAAGAACTTTCTCCTAAATCAGGCTACTGAAAAAAAAAAGCTTGAGGACAGGACCGAGAGAGATGATGGGGTTGGGGGGGGATGAATGAAAGTTGCCCTTCATTTATAGTTAAAATTCTGACCCTTTATTATTGCGTGAGAATAAAAAATAATTAACACAGCTTTTTCTTAAGATCTTCTTCCTTCCTGCTATTATACAAATTACCAATATATGTAACGAATTGAAGCCAAAATTCTTGGCTTTATTATAGAACAAAAAAAATAGATGTCAAGGATGAGCTTTCTTTTATAGCTATAATGTATTTATTTATTTATTGGTTCAATTTATATGCCACCCTTCTCTGGAGACTCAGGGCGGCTTACAATGCGTTAAGCAATAGCCTTCCTACTTTTGTATATACCTGCTTAGTAGGGCTTTCGGGGGCCCCTTAAGTGGTGTTCTTTTTTATACAAAGTCAGCTTATTGCCCCCACAATCCGGGTCCTCATTTTACCTACCTCGAAAGGATGGAAGGCTGAGTCAACCTTGAGCCTGGTGAGATTTGAACTTGCAGTAATTGCAGGCAGCTGGCAGCTAAGTGCTACTTAACAGCACTTTAGTCCGCTGCACCACCAATATCTCTATAATATAGAGATATTAAACATAAAATCTACAGTACTAGATTTGGGAGACTACAGTTGTTGTTTTTTAATAAGGGCTACTATGGCATAGGAGTGTTTGACCCCATTCCTTTCTGACACTTTGCTAGTCACAACATATTTTAACTTTTAAGCAGATTTCATTCAGAATTGCTACCTCTTGGGCTGGTTTTCATCTGAAGAGCAAGTCAGTGGAAAGATGCATGCAAGATCACTTCAATTTTCAGCCTAATCATGAAGAGTTACCAACAGTTTTCCAAATTGAAGAATGAAATGGATTATAAATATGTTATCTTTGTTGTTATTTGTTTAAGGTGACTACAAAGAGTGAGTCTTTAGCTTCTCTGGGAATAATCACATTAGGCTTTGAATGGCCTTATGAAGCCAGTAATGGAAAGTGGCTGCTCTACCCAACTGAAATCTTGATAAAAGGGAAGGAAGAGTGGTATTGTGAACCATCTGAAGAAGTCATCAATCCCCTCAAGCTCACCGTGAGTCTAGGGTCTATTCTCAGCCTCTTCTCTCTTTTGCTCTATCCCCATTTAATATAAATATGTATATTTTGAGATCAACTCCTTAACTGCCCATTCTAGGAATGTCTGATTCATATATAGGGTTACTTTGAATAGTGTGCTTTGTGAGGATTGCCTGTCCCCAAATTCCTTGCTAGTAGTGCCAACAAGTGGACGATCTTGAAGTTGCATTCTCAGGATATTTTGAAAGGGCTGAAAATGAAGATTCTTGATTAGCTGACTGGGTTGGTTTTGTGTGAATTTCGTACAATATCTCAAAAGTAAGATATTTTATTATTAAAATTGGTATATATCTAGTCTGTTTCTCAAGTGAAATTAACAGAATTGCAATTAATGAACTTTTTCTGGCATTCTTAATGTTATAGCATAGGATCTTAGCAAAAAGAAAAAGAAAAGTGTCCAACAGTAACATCTGATTCCTACAGAATGAAGAATCATCCCCTGGTTATGAGGCACCCTCTTGGTGGGGGCAAGTATTCTTACACTTCTTGATGCTCACAGACATGATAACAGCTAATGTTTCTTCTTTTTCAGCAAATAGATCATAGCACTTCTCCAGCACGGAGAAAGCGTGAGTTGCAGGCATCTCCAAACGCTGAGATTCCCATCACCTTAGCATCTTCAAAGAAAGCCAGATCAGAAACAGCACTGGTAACCATTCCATCATTAGATATCCTTTCTGTTCTGTTCTGTTCTGTTCTTTTTTTTTACTTAAAAAAATTTTTTTTTGCCTTTCCAAATTGTCCTTTTTATTAGTTTATAATATAAAATTTGTTGTTGTTGTTGTGAAGTTGTGTCCGACCCATCGCGACCCCATGAACAACGTTCCTCCAGGCCTTCTCTACTATCCCCTGGAGTTCATTTAAGCTCATCCCTACTGCTTCAGTGACTCCACCCAGCCACCTCATTCTCTGTCGTCCTCTTCTTCTTTTGCCCTCAATCTTTCCCAGCATTAAGCTCTTCTCCAGTGAGTCCTTCCTTCTCATTAAGTGGCCAAAGTATTTCAGTTTCATCTTCAGGATCTGGCCTTTTAAAGAGCAGTCAGGGTTGATCTCCTGTAGGACTGACTGGTTTGTTTGCCTTGCAGTCCAAGGGACTAGCAGGAGTCTTCTCCAGCACCATAGTTCAAAGGCCTCAATTCTTTGGCACTCAGCTTTTCTTACAGTCCAACTTTCACAGCCATACATTGCAACTGGGAAAACCATAACCTTGACTATACACACTTTTGTTGGCAGGGTGATGTCTCTGCTTTCTAGTATGTTGTCTAGATTTGCCATAGCTTTCCTCCCCAGAAGCAAGTGTCTTTTAATTTCTTGGCTGCAGTCCCCATCTGCAGAGATCTTGGAGCCCAAGAAAATAAAATCTGTCACCGCTTCCATTTTTTCTCCATTTATTTGCCAGGAATTGAGAAGGCCGGATGCCTTGATCTTATAAATATAATATAAAATACAAAAAACAAATAATAGGAAAAATAGGGGAGGGAAAAGGGAAGGGAAGAGTGTAGAAAAGAGGTGGTGGGGGGGAGAAAAGGTGTAGACTTCCGACTCCCTTTGATGCAGTAGAATAAGATAATAACATCAAACCTCAACTTTTTACTTTTACATGATAGTATAAACTAGTGATTTCTATATCAACAAATCTAATTGGCAAAACCCAAAATCAAAGTTTCATTTTTTTCCACCTCAAGCACAAAGTGCAGAAGCGGTTTCCAAGTAGAAACAAAAGTAATTGGGTTTTTTTGTTTTTTTGTTTTATCAGATCAGTCAATTTAGACAACTCTGCTAACTCCATCAATTTTTGCAGCCATTCATCCATTGTGGGCATCGAAGTGTCCTTCCATTTCTGTGCATAAAGTAATCTTGCTGCCATCAACTTATATAACATCAAAATTCCATTTTTTCCCCAAGTCTTTTTCCATTAAACCCAAAGAAAAGTTTCTAGTTTTATCTTTATATTCACTTTAAGAATCTTCTGTATTAGAATATGAATCCTATTCCAATATTTCTTTGCTTTACCACATGTCCACCATAAATGATATAAAGTCCCTTCTTTACATTTGCATTTCCAACATTCATATGAAGTACCTTTATAGATTTCTGATAACTTATCCAGTGTTAAATACTAATGATACATCATCTTGTAAAATGTTTTTTTTTAATTGTAATTTAGTGTAAATTTTAAATCTTTCATTCACATAGTCTACCATTGTTCAAGCTTTACATTGTATCCAAAATTCCTTGCCTACTGAAACATACAATGCTTTATATATTCACTTTGCAAATCCTTGCTGTTCTTAATAAGAATTCCCTCATCATGAGCCTCTCTAGGTCAGCCAATATTGCTCTATATCAGTGATTCTCAACATTGGTAATTTTAAGGTGTGTGGAGTTCAACCTCCAGAATTCTGGGAGTTGACATCTACATATCTTAAAGTTGCTGAGTTTGAGATACTCTGCTTTATACTGTCCTAAACTAGGACCAGGTATCAGTATTCACTATCCTTTTGAATGGCTGTTAGGGAGTGGTGGATGAGGCCAGATTATGTGTGTGTTTCAGGTAAAAAGATAAAATCACCCTCAAACCAAGCAGTTCACAATAGCTAAATGAATATGACCATGTATTTTTCTTAGCAAAATTCTGATATTTGTTTTCTTTCATCCAGATTTTTTTTATACTTGGGAACAGTATAGTACAGGGGCAGTGGTGAAATCCAATTCTTTTTACTACCAGTTCTGTGGGCGTGGTGTGGCTTGGTGGGTGTGGCTTGGTGGGCGTGGTTTGGTGGGCATAGCAGGGGAAGGATACCACAAAATTCCCATTCCCTCCCCACTCCTGGGGGAAGGATATTGCAAAATTTCCATTCCCACCCCACTCTGGGGCCAGCCAGAGGTGGTATTTGCCAGTTCTCCAAACTACTCAAAATTTCCGCTACCGGTTCTCCAGAACCTGCCAGAACTTTCTGGATTTCATCCCTGTACAGGAGTCTCCAATCATGGCAACTTTAAGACTTGTGGACTTCAACTCCAATTCTGGGAGTTGAAGTCCACAGGTCTTAAAGTTGCCAAGGTTGGAGACCCCTGGTATAGTAGGAATTGGATCTAGATATCATTTTTTTTTTAAAAAAAATTAAATTTGATTTATATGCCCTCCTTCTCCGGAGACTCAGGGCGGCTTACAATGCGTTAAGCAATAGCCTTCATACTTTTCTATATTTATACAAAGTCAGCTTATTGCCCCCACAAACTGGGTCCTCAATTTACCTACCTTAGAAAGGATGGAAGGCTGAGTCAACCTTGAGCCTGGTAAGATTCGAATTTACCGTAATTGCAGATAGCTGGTGCTAATCACAATGCTATCAGTCTGCTGAGCCACCAAGCCCCTAATTGAAACTGTGGCTATTCATATTTCCAAGAACCCATGCATTGATCCCAATCCTTCCAAATCTTAAGAGCAGGGATTATTTATTTATTTTATTTATTTTATATAAATTAAATGCACAACTTTGTGGACGTTAAGGGCAATAACTCACTCTCCTGAATATCTAGCAAGCTGCAGGAGGCCTTCTGATGTCCCTGTATCTTAATTTTGAGAGGATTTATGGGAATAATAATGGCTCCCATTCCTACCCTTTTAAAAACATTTTCATGCCAAAAAATGGCAACAACATCAATATGTCATTTTGTTGACAAATTTCTGCTCTTTTTTCCAAGGGCTCAAAAGGGGAATTGAACCAGGTTTCTTGGACCTCTCGTTCCTATCTATATTTTTAACCATGTTTTTAGTGCTAGCATCGTACCCTTGAAATGTTGCCACCAAATGTTGATATTACAAAGTTGGGATTTTTAGGGAATATGCCATTGCCCCTGGTTGTTTTCAAATGCCATTTAAAATGAAGAAATGAAAAGTCCTTGTGACTGTACATTATACGAAACACCCTTTGAATAACTCACCAGATTCTTTTCCCCTGCCTCATTCTATTTTTTCCTTTCCAGAGTTGTTCCAAAGGAACTTCTCGTTGCATCTGGTTTGAATGCCCCTTGTGGAATATCGGAGCAGTTACAAATGTGAAGGTCCGAGCAAGAGTTTGGAACAGCACTTTCATTGAGGTAAGTGCTGTTTAATTCTTCTGCTCCCTTTCAGTAGCACGCTGCTTGTACTGGTATGTTGGATGCGAATGGTTTTCTTTTCTTTTTTGCAATCACGGACTGTTGCAAAATAGTCTGGCAGCTAAGAACCACTAAGGCATTCATATAATAATGGTGGCAAAGGGGGCAAGAATTATTTTTCCATGGTGGCTGAATTTATTTATTTCATGAATTATTAGGCTTATTGCCTACTATACACACATATTTCAAAGTTAAATGGATAGATAAACAGAAGTAGCTGTTTTTGAAGGGAGGCGGTGGCTCAGTGGCTAAGATGTTGAGCTTGTCAATCAAAAGGTCGGCAGTTCAGCGGTTTGAATCCCCAGTGCCGCATAATGGGGTGAGCTCCTGTTACTTGCCCCAGCTTCTGCCAACTTAGAGTTCGAAACAGTGGTGAAATGTAAAATTTGTTACTATTTGTTCTGTGGGTGTGGCTTGGTGGGGGCGGTGTAATATGACTGAGTGGGCATGACCAATTTTTTTTTTTACTTATAAAATCATTTTTTCTACAACCTCTTCAGCTGAAGAGGTTGTAAAAAAATGCTTTTAAAGCCTCTGACGATCCTGGCTGACTTGCCTGATCGGCAGAGGCTTTCTTTTTTTTAAGTCTCTGACGATCCAGCTGACTTGCCTGATTGTCAGAGGCTTTTTTTTTTAAGCCTCTGATGATCCCAGCTGACTTGCGTGATCGGCAGAGGCTTTCTTTTTTTAAGCCTCTGATGATCCCAGCTGACTTGCCTGATTGGCAGAGGCTTTTTTTTTTAAGCATCTGACGATCCCAGCTGACTTGCGTGATTGGCAGAGGCTTTCTTTCTTTTTTTTTTTAAGCCTCTGACGATCCCAGCTGACCTGCCTGATCGGCAGAGGCTTTCTTTTTTTTTTAAAGCCTTTGCCGATCCCAGCTGACTTGCCTGATCGGCAGAGGCTTTTTTTTTTTTTTAAAGCCTCTGACGATCCCAGCTGACTTGCCTAATCGGCAGAAGCTTTTTTTAAAAAAACCTCTGACGATCTCAGCTGACCTGCCTGATCGGCAGAGGCTTTCTTTTTTTTTTAAAGCCTTTGCCGATCCCAGCTGACTTGCCTGATCGGCAGAGGCTTTTTTTTTTTTTAAAGCCTCTGACGATCCCAGCTGACTTGCCTAATCGGCAGAAGCTTTTTTTAAAAAAACCTCTGACGATCTCAGCTGACTTGCCTGATCGGCAGAGGCTTTTTTTCCTTTTAAAAACATTCTTTCTATAAGCTCTTCAGCCGAAGAGGTTATAGAAAAAGTGCTTTTAAAAGCCTCTGACGATCCCAGCTGACTTGCCTGATCGGCAGAAGCTTTTTTTTTTTTTAAAGCTCTGACGATCCCAGCTGACTTGCCTGATCGGCAGAGGCTTTTTTTCCTTTTAAAAACATTTTTTCTATACCTCTTCGGCTGAAGAGGTTGTAGAAAAAATGCTTTTAAAAGCCTCTGATGATCCCAGCTGAGCTGCGCGATCATCAGAAGCTTTTTTTTTTACTTTTAAAAGCATTTTTTCGGCCAAAGAGGTTGTAGAAAAAATGCTTTTAAAAATAAAAAAAAGCTTCTGATGATTGCGTGGCTCAGCTGGGCAATGGGGAGTTGGGGGCAGGGATTTTTGCTACCAGTTTTCTGAACCACCCACCTCCATCACTACCGGATCGGGTGATCCGGTCCGAACCGGGAGCATTTCACCCCTGGTTCAAAAGCACGTAAAAAGTGCAAGTAGAAAAATAGGGACCACCTTTGATGGGAAGGTAACAGCGTTCTGTGTGCCTTTGGCGTTTAGTCATGCCGGCCACATGACCACAGAGACATCTTCGGACAGCGCTGGCTCTTCGGCTTTGAAACGGAGATGAGCACCAGCCCCTAGAGTTGTGAATGACTAGCATATATATGTGAGGGAACCTTTACCTTTACCTAATAGCTTTTAACATATTGATTCTTTTAGGATTACAATGACTTTGATCGTGTCAAGGTAGATGGGCAAGTGACTCTTTTCCTTAGGACAAACTCCTCTACAATCAATATGAAAAATCAAACAGTGTTGGTGAGTAAAAAGATGAAGTAACTTCAATATCCTTCTGATTCCTGTTTACACACTCCAAGCCTTGGCCCATCCAGTTAGTGAAATGATCCAACTGCTTTGGACAAGCTCTTCTTTTATCTTCTGCAGTAGCTTTTTTATTACAGCAAAGCCCAATAGCTCTTAGAGTAGGTCACTATCCAATTTTACTTTGTGTATGTGCGTTCCATATATTATATGTATCCAAAAAACAGGTTAACCAATGCATGTCATGTAAAACTACCCAGTGGGGATGCAAAGGGATGTTGAGAAAGTTGCTGGCCAGTCAGAGAGGAAGTGAAAGTATTATCATGAGGAAAGGTATGCATGGAAAGAAAACACATGGATTGAGGATGAAAGTATGGCAGATCTTTTCCCCATGACTCTCTGCTCTCTTCCTTTCTCCATAATTATCAGATTCTAGTAATACTCCTGGAATTTATTTTCAGGGCTGACTCTGGCCTAGTCCTGCCATACTTTTGCAAACTGATGAAGTCATTTGGCACACAAGTGAGACCTCTTTGGAGGGTTGGAAGGGGACTCCCTTGAATCTTGTTTTTTTCCTTTGTGAGGGTGAGCTAGTTGTCAAGTTCCCTCAGAGTATGACACAAAACCATGTTCAAGTTTGCAGCCTTGTAATCTGATAACCTACATCTGGAAAGAGAACAGCTGTTCTACCATGCTTTTGTGAAACACTTTTGTTTAGTGTGATTTACTTAATACTTATTCACTCAGTCTCTTAATCTGTTTTAAAGATGCCATTTACCATCTTTAAAAACTTTCACTCAAAATAGAGCTGCATTCTCATTTGCAGCCTGCGGCAGAAGCAAGCTGTAGATGGTCCAACATGCTCTGGATGGAAGTCACATGTTTTTTGGGGGGAAAGAAACAAAATCTCCCTTACAGACATCCTAGGTTGCATGGAAAAGGAATCTTCAGAGGTGGGCAACCTATGGAGATCCAGATGGGCCAGTGCATCACTACCCCTCCCATCCAGTTGTTGGGCTCTGGGCTTCCACAGCCATTATTGCTTTGGCTTCCAGAGAGAGAAGAACATCACTGAAAATTTAACCCAATCCAGCTCACTTCACCTGTGGTGATCAAATATGTATTCTACCTCTGCCCACACTTATTAAGTACAAATTTCTCCATGCTTAAAATAATACAGGTGGTCCTCACCATGGTTATAAGGCATGATGCTAAATTACTGTGGTGATAGTTCTAGTTGCCCTTGTTAGGCAAATCCTACATCATTGCAATGCCCCATGGTTATGTGATTGACATGTGTGATCTCCTGTTGACATGCCCATTGACTTTGCTTATTGGAAGCTGGCAGTGAAGGTTGCAATTGACTGTGGGATGCTGTAACTGTGAGTTGAGTGCCCAAAATACAATTACTTGACCACAAGGACATTGTGATGGCCATAACTATGACGACCTGCCATAAATTCCCTATGTTCAGGGCCATCCTAACTTTAAATAGTGGCTGAATGAATGGATATTAAATCTGGACCTACCTGTAATGGTAGGTAAGTATAATGGTAAGCAAGTCAAAAAAATTTGCTGGACTGTTCCAAGGAGCATTGTTGTTCCCTGTGAAGGGAAGGTTGCCATTTAAATTGACAAAATACAAAATGGATAAAATGACAATAGCAATAATTATTTCCTTTTTACATAGAATGCAACTCAGGAAGATATGTACTGCACTTCACCCTTCCTCCCCACTGCTGTTCTGTTAATCTTAACAACTACCCCTCAGATACTTCTTCCTGGCTGAGAGAAAAAACCATGGTGGTAGTAACCTCACTTCATAGTTCCCAGAACAGTTTCATATCAGCTCTGTCCCACATCACAACTCCCAATTTCTCTCTGTGCCCTTTGCCCTCAGTCCACTCTGTTCGATTACAACAATTGATGAAAACATGCCAGCCTGCAATCTATTGAAACTAGTGATGACTTTGAGGAGCTTTGCGGCTGCCATTGTTTCTCTCTCTGCGAAAAGACCAATCACTTTGCTAAAAGTAACCAGTGTTACATTTTATAAGGGCAGTAACAGTATTAGTGTCATTAGTGTTAGGGTGGGTTCTTTTTTTATTGACCTACTTTCCTTCTGTCTAAATAACATGGATGTGTAGATGCAGTCTTAATGAGATATTAGTTCAAGGCCTTCTAATTTGTTTCCAAAAAGGGTGAAAACAGGATTATGTTCCTCATCTTCCATCTCAGCATATGTGCATTTAGCTGAAGGTCTGGAAGATGATAGTAGAGTTACAAAGGTAATTAGGAGTCCTACATGAGTAGCATTCCTGGCCCTTTAAGGCATTTGGATACCACAAAAAAGGAGACAGCTTCCCTCCTGTGCATTTACCACATTCCTAGACAGACAGCACTGAATCCTAATTGGCTAGAGATAGAATTAGAGATAAAGATAGATATAGATATATAGACACACAAACATGAGAGAGAGAGAAAGAGAGAGAGAGGGAGGGGAGGGAGAGGGAGAGGGAGAGAGAGAGATTTGGAATATATAATGCAAATGGTAATTAAGAATAAATAGGTGCATTCAGTGCATTGAATTATATCAATGAGAGTGTGCTAATAGCCTTGTACTGATGCTCCTCTGTTTTTCTCTACTGGGCAGTAGAGGAACAGCTCTGAGCATGCTGTTCCTCAAAACCAACTTTGCATTTATCCTGTTTTTTTTTCTCTCTACAAAGACCTGTCTGTTTCTTGTTTCTTTGCCCTAATTTCAGTTTACTGTAGACATTGACTCGGAACTCAGTGAAGAGCTGCAGGCCGAGATTGAGTTGTGGGTGGTGCTAGTTGCTGTTGCTGCAGGACTACTGCTCTTGGGCTGTATCATCTTATTGCTGTGGAAGGTAAGAAACGAAGCCTTAAATAGTGGTCAGGGACAGTCCCACTTCTCCCCCCCCATCCCCCAATTCAACCTAGATATAAAGACCCTTGGAAGTTGATGATCCAAAGGTGCAAACAATTCTTAATGACCTGTGCCTACATGATGCAAATTGACCCACACAATCCAACTGATTGAACTGATGTCTCAATATCCAAGCAATATGATGAAAGTACATGTAATATTGTTTTCTTTGATAATGAATACATTGGCCTCACTTGGTAACAAAATATTTACGTATTTGGCTGCAGCAAAACTGGCCAGGCTAGTTCCAAATGGCCAGGTGGAAAGTAATTCTGTCTCTCCAACTTTATCCAGAATGACGTAAACTGCACTGAGTCAGCTCTGGTATGTAGCTCAAGCACATCTCTCTGGAGATCAGCCAAAGAAGAAACAAACAAACAAACAAATGCTCTGCTGGGCATTTGATTTGCTCTTTTTTACCACAAGGAATCTGGCTTGATGGCTAAGAAACTATATTTAGATTCTAATTAGTGCAGGAATTGGGGGAATGCTTGGAAGTCCATAGGTGTTGATGCCTTAGGATAACACAGCAATATTAGTCAGTGCACTGCAGTTATCCTTCTCTGTCGTCCAGTGACTCATTGTGATTTTTTAGGCACATTTCTGAGGGACTAGTAGAGCAGTCTGCATAGTGTACATTACTAAAGCCTTATGAAAATCTCTGCCAGTTCCCTATTTCTGGAAGCCATTATCAGACTAGAAAATCTTCAATATTCGGAAGCTCTGAGATGATTGTGACAAGGCTACATTTCCAAAATGTATTCCTGCAGTAGGCAACCTGGTGATTTTCAGATTAGAGTTCTAACAGTCCTTTGCCATATCATTAGGATATGGGAATTGAAATCCAGAACATACAGAAGGCATCTGGTTGCTTATTCCTTGCTTAGCTCCATAGGTTTGGCCAAGGAAAGTTTATCTCTGAATTGCAACTATCGTAACTGACTGTTAGGATTTTGCAAAGCTTTGAAGGGGTATGATCTCAGACACTGTTTTCAGCAAGGTACCCTTTCAAAATTTATGAATTTTGTGTCCTCCACTTCTAACGAGCAAGCATTTACAGATTTCCTTCTGGCTTTTCTGGTGAGCTGCTGCTAGTGCTGGAGAGAACCCAGAAGAAGCCCCAAATGCCAAAGCATGCCAGTTTCATCACTGCTATATTTCAATAGGGTTAACAGGATTTCCTCCCTGGTATGAAGCACTTTGACAAATACTTAAGAGTAACGGACTATTTGTTTGCTGGGGCATGTCTGAGACTGCTAATTCATGTTCTATTAATTATTTTTAAGGCTGTTGCTATGGGACAGTAGCCGCATGAAAACCTCAGACAGGTTAAAACTGCAATAGAAGGTTTTTACCTTTAGGGATTAATTTCATCCGACCTTCAAATCAGTGCCTGGAGTGAAACAATGACACAAGGCTTCTCCATCACACACACTGAAGTTAATCATTATTAGACCATAGTCTGGATACTTGAGTTGTGTTTTATATTTCTTACCCCCATCAACCCTGACCTTTGCCCCCTGCTTCCTCATAGTGTGGCTTCTTCCGGAGGGCAAGCACACGAGCCTTGTATGAAGCCAAGGGCCAGAAAGCCATGATGAAGATCCAGCCTTCTGAAACTAAGCGGCTGACCGACAGCTACTAGTTCCTGTCTGGGGGGGGGATACTGCCCACCCCTTTACCCTGTATCTTGGTAAATTATTGGGGGGTGGTTGGATGGGTGGGACAAGATCTGCCTTTAATTCCTTGTGTCCTTGCACTTTTGAAACTTTCCCTGCACTTCTTCATTCTTGCTTCTAGATTGGTAGTCTAGTGTTGAGTTAGAGAATGTAGAGGATTGGTACAGCTGGCCACAGGTGATTGCCTTATTTTGGTGGATGGTTCATCTCATTCAGATTATATGCACTGACTAGGAATTGTTCTGGCAGGGAAGTAGTCCATCGCCTGCTACTTTAAAAAAAAGTAGGTAGTACTTTAGTAGATAGTTGGGTTGGTCTTGCTGTCAAGACGATACAAAATATTCGGGTACAGAGAATTTCTTGGTTATTATTATGTTGAAAAATTATCTGTCGCCTTTATTATATTACAGAAACCCTGAAGAGATGAAGAACTTTAAATAATGTATTCAAAGTATGTGCTAGCTTAATGCCAAAATCTGAAACCCTATATTTGTAGTTTAGTTATTGACAGGTAAGGCATTTTAGCCATCCTTTCTGTTGACTGTATTTACATGGTCACTTTGGAAAGATCTGCCCCTACTCCTGAGTAAGCACTCTAAGGAGCATAATCAATTATTCCTCAGCCCATTGGCAGCATCCATGTTCACGGGAAGTCTGGCCATGAGAGCTGCCATTTTCTGGTATTTTTTGTCCAATTTGTGAGTAAAAGCCCCCCTGTAGCTTGATTGGGTTCAGACCCACAATAGACAGGATGAGGAGGGCCTAATTCAAGCACATTTTCCCCTCTATTTACCCCCATCACCCCACAATTGGAAAATAAGTAATAGAAGAAATCAGACAGTGTACAGTAACACTTTGGTAGGTCACTCATCTTAGTGCTGAGAACAGGAAGAGATAATTAACATTCTATTAATCCATTTTACCATGTTCCACAATATAGCTACCTAGAGAATGTCAGAGTAGCCCCAAACAGTCTCAAATCTAATTTGACTTAAAACCATTCCATTCTAACTGTACCATTAACATGATTTACCTGAACTGCCAAGTATGCTACTCCTGTCCTTAGCCTAGCTAAGCACGTGCAAATACAGCTTTTGTAAAACCTGATCTGGAGATTTGGCTCTAATCTAGTAAAATGGTGTGATGTTAAAAAATCTATTTGTATGAAATATCAACCTCTGAGATTCGGACACAAGTACTAGAAGCCTTTCATTGGTCAACAAAAAAGTGCTTTCTGCCTGCTCATCTCAGGTTCACACACTTTAAGAATGCTAAATCGAAGGATCTGTGTTTAGGTGATTTGACCCGGACACTTTCCCATTTCTTGATTAGAAGCTTTTTCAGCTGAGACTCCCTATTCTAAAACTCAGCCTGTCTATTCTACTTAGCAGCTATGCCGCATCTCTGTCTTCAATTATTCACAAAGCAGATTCCTCTCAACATATTTGACCCTCTGCACTAGATTTAAAGCAGCTTCTCTTTTTGCCTGTTTGCATTACTAATTCAAACTTCTTTTCCTAGGAATTACCAAGTATTTTGAGGGTGGCTTTCAAGATGGCACTTTAAATAATGACATGTATATTTTCTTTTTTCATTTGACTCTGTTTCTTTTCACCTCCTAGGCCAATATAAGTGACCATTGTTGGGATGGCTAAGCCAATGCAGGAAAGTAATACTGTTATGGTGGTCAACCCTGTTGAAATACACTGGTGCATAATGGAAAACCCACCAGTGGACAAAGTTTCAGTCAAGTGGAAAAAAGAGGGGAGAAAAAGAGAACTAATATTGCAAAATAATGGTCCATATTTTTTTAATATTTAGATTTCAGTCTTGCCTTCTAACTATTTATAGTTATTTATTCCCATGGGACTTTAACCTTTAACAGAAAAATATTTGCAATTCCATGGTAACTCATGATACATTGGGCATTTTCACTGTATTGCCAGTATCAAGGTATAGGATACACAAAGTCCAGATATTTAAGTAAAAAAAAATAAAAATAAAAAAGTAAAAGTAAAAAAAAATAAAAATTAAAAAAAAATGTTCAGATACTTGAATTATTTAATCTGATCTTGCTTCAGCATACTTCTAGTGAGTCACCAGGAAGAAGTTTCTGAGAAGAAACAGCTCCCACAAAATGTGAAGTGTAGGAGGTATCTATCTTAAATATTGCTGAGAATGTGGATGATAGAAGATACAGAAAGGGTTGCAAAGGAAGGGTAGTAATTGTTTTGCTTTCTATGGAGGAGCTGAACCTTCCAAATGGAACACAAAGTGGGAAGTTTAGTTGCAAACCTGAAGAACCTGACAAAATAGTATCTGTGGGTTGACTGAGGTATTCAGAGCTTACCTTTAATGTAGTGGTTGGGATCATCCTTAAAAGTCTGTGCCCTGTACAAAATTATTTTGAATATTTTTTAAAGGAAAGATGCCTCAGACAGTAGTCAGGAATGCCTACCCACCACCCTTATCTATCAAATTCAACATTCATTGAAAAAATAGCTTCCAGCCAGGCAGTAATTTCTAAAATGAACTGTGCTAAGATTAAAGCATGGCTTCCAGCATCTGCTCTCTATACTGCACTCGTATTTAGAGCTATTGTGACTTGGCACTGAATTGCAAATATCTTCCCTGTTGCTATTTCAGCATCACACCTAGCAGAGATTTGTAATAGGAACGGAACAAATGGAATTTCAGCAGAGTAGATACCCTCCCTCCCCATTTTAAAAAACAAAAAGCAACATGTCATGAAAACGTAGTGAGGGAAGATGCTCGCTGTCAAGTATTTGCAAGCCATTGGCACAAGTGTCATATAGACACCAGTGGAGGCAGAGAGTGTCTCCATCCCTATGTGGAAAGGAGGGGCTTACCCTGAGTATAAAACCCCCTCCAACCTTTTCCACCTTGCTCTCTCCATCTCTCTCTTTTCACATTTGTTCCTCATGAGACTTGATCTCTGATCAGGGTAGTCACACACACTGTGTGCCCCCTATCCTATAATGAATACTGAGACAGCCTTTGTACATAGTTAATATGCTTTATTATATGAATAAATACATTTAAGACATTTATTCACGCATTTGCCTCTGAACTCTTCTATGCTCCTGAGTGTTTCTACAATCCCAATTCCACACTCACAATATAAATTCTTTTGTATAGTGTGAAGTATAGAGATAGCATTGGTTGGATTTGTCAATCCATAGTGGAGCCAATTACAGTATCCTCATGGACTGGCAGCAGGAAGTAGAAATTATCAGTGGTTCCCCTCCTTTCTTCATTGTTTATCCCAGTCAATGTTGATGAGGAGGGGAGACTTCAACCTCTTATTTGTGGGATGTCTTAGTACTGTATTCATATCCCTTTTCTTACATATCTCCATAAAGCCACTGGGCAAGGTTATACATTGGCTCAGTATCAGGTTTCATCCATTCACCAATAATATCCAATTGCATATTTTAATCCCATTGGACCAAGAGATACTTTTGAGATCCCGTTCCAGTCAGGGGGTTGTACAGGTCTATAGATGGAGAGGGAGAAACTCAGTCCTGCTGAGACTGTTGTGGATATTTTCCCAGCCTCAGTTCTAGGGACTTAGATCTTTAGTCTTGGAAGGGATGGTATTTCTCCAGTTAAAAAAACTGTATGCAATCTGGGGTTTATTTTAGTCTTTTAGTTGCTGCTAAAAGAGCAAGTGGCAATTATGGCCAAGATGGCTTTTGCACATATTCAGCTAGTGTGTTAGTAGCACTTGTTCCTGGATTGAAAGGCCTATCAAGCAATTGCTCATGTCCTAATTAACTCACAATGGATTACTGCACTGTGCTGTACATGTGACTGCCTTTGAAGACCATTCAAAAACTACAACTGGTACAGAATGCAATACAGCAGGAGTGATGGGCATGTCACATTGTGCCCATGTGATGCTTTGAAACATGCACTGGTTATCAGTTGGCTTCCAGGTGGAAGATAACGTTTTAGTTATGACCTATAAAATAAAACCCTTTATAGTTTAAGACTTGGCTATTTGGGAACCACTTATTTCTGACTGTCTCTGATCAACTGGTGAGATTAGAGATTATAGGTACACTACAGTTACAGTTCCCACTATAATAATATTTGGAAAGTCATTCAAGACTTGGCAGTTCTCCCAAAGTTTGAGGCAAAGGTTTGGCTGTTTTATTGTAGAATAGAGAATTGTGACTGATCTGAAATGGCATCCACTCCCTGGATGATACCACATGGCCTTTGTACTATATATAGGGAGGCCAAGGGACAGAGCACAGGCTTTCTGTAGCAGATATAAAGAAAAGATAAGTAACCAAGTCATTATTTTGTCTATTTGGTTCACACAAAATATCTATGCCAAAAATCAGAGTTTTTCAGTTCCCAAATCAGCCTGTCCCAGATAAAATGGTCAAATGTATTGGCTCAGCTTGTTCTTTTTCTCTCATGGTTGAAAATATATCTTGCTGCTCTTTTGTCCTGTCCTGCCTCTGAAACTTTTTCTCTCTCAGGTTTTCAGCTGAGGTTTCTCTTTCACTGTTGGTTTCTGTACTGAATGTATTTATCCTTCCCCCTCCCCCTTTCTCTCCATCCACAGTGCAACTTTTTCAAGCCAACCCGCTACTACCGCATCATGCCCAAATACCATGCCATTCGCATCCGGCAGGAAGAGCGCTACCAGCCAGCTGGCGGCTTCTTGCCTCCAAAGCACAAGAAGCGATGGGTGACAAACTGGCAGGAAACGGGAAGATACTACTGACATCTGCCTCAGTTCCCCCCCTATCCTGTGCTCACTCCCAGGCTGCTTGGCTTTCCTTTGTAAATATTGCTGGACCAACCAAGGAACTCTTATTTATAGTAAGTTATATGTCCTTGGTCAATTACGACCCAAACCTTTCTCCAGATACTGTGATCTTGGAGAGAAAACTATTCATGCAAGGTGGATATGGTAGGCATTTATAAAATTTGAGGCACAAAGGAGTAGCTTTTTCATTTGCACTGTTGGGTTCTCCACCTGCCCTCCCCAACCCACAACACTCCAACACCACTACCAGCATTCTTGGAAATTTAGTTCCATGAAGCAGAATGAAGAGTAGATTTGAAAATCAGCTTCATTTTGCTCTAAAAGGGCAACAGTGCATAAGCACTTGGGTTAATCACCTACATGGAAAAGTTGTGATCTAATGAAATTGCTGTTTATTTCATAACCCCACTCTTGACTGTCCCTCTCATGAGCTCAGAGCAACTTCTGTGTGATTCCCACACAGCCTTCCATTTTAGCAGCTTATAAAATCTAATCTTAGGTGTCAAACTGCCTTCAGGTGAATCCCTGGGCTTCCAAAAGATGTACCTTGATTAAGCCAACACGCAGCTTCTCTCTCAAATTCACACATTGTATACTGTCCTAATGTAAAGGAACTTTGGATAATATAGCTTAGCAGAGTCTTCAGAATTGGCAACAGCTCTCCAGGGTTTGGGGCAGGTCTGTCCAATGTCCAAAGATTCTCAGAATTAAAAAATCCTCTTCATGCACAGCAGATACTTTATTGTAGAGTTAGAATTCCTCCCAAGATGTGCCTATATATTTACTCAATATGATAATCTCGCAAAATCATCTTAATATGTTTATGGGATGCTTTATTGAAGAAGGCCCTTCCGTTTTCACAAAACCCTCTTTCAGTAACCACAAACCAATTTGTGTGTGTGTATCCCCTTATCAGAGGCTTACACTAGAACCGTTCTCTTTGAACATCCTGTCCTTACCCAAGAGCAGCTGGTCAGGGAATTTTGGGAGATTCTTTCTTAGTATAAGAAATACTAATAGTACACTATAGTATAAGTGTATAAGTATATACACTTTTCACAAGTATTATATTTTTCTAATGCAGACATACAGCCATATTTTAAAAAAAACACAAAGTACTTTTATTTGCTCATTTTCATTTGCTGACAGTTGTAGTAGATGCCTCCATGCTCTCTTTTGGTCCTTGTTAATGCTTGCCTCATTTTTCCCCTCAGCCTTCCATCACCTGGCACCAATCAGATATATTGGACTACAGCTCTAATCATACTCTGCCATACTTCATTTAGAGGGGAGGTTGAATGAATTTTGACTTCTATAACTGCAATTGCCATATTTCCTGACTCCAGCATGGAAAAGTTGCAGGATATATAGGGTCTGCAATTGCTCCCATAGGATCTTGAACCAATTTCCCCAGGCCTAACCTCTCTTTTTAGGTCCTAACTAGCCAAGGTGGTATTGCCCTCTCCCCTAGAAATAAGGTTTTATCAAAAGCCTTGAATCTAATGGTGTGGCTGAAGCCTATTTAGTTCTGGGCCAGTATCAGTTTCCACCCTTCCTATAGAATAAGTACTGGATATTTCAGCACTGGAGCTTGTACTGGACTAAGGATTACTGACTATAATTTAGTCCTTCTATTTTTAATTCTCTGGCAGGAAGGGTGATTTCACTAGTATTAGTACTGTTATCTTATTTTTAAGAAACACTAAGAAAGCTTGAAATGAGAAGCGTAGCATTTTATTTTTTTAACTTAGATATTATTTTTAATGACTTTGATCACTGGCTGGGTTTGAGACATGCCAGGGAGTAATTCATTGCAGGATTAGCTCCCAGATACAGGAGGCCCTAGATAGCATCCTTTAGTGGGCTCCTTCCTGCATCAGTGAGCCTTGGTAGAATCTCCATGCTTTTCATAGCATTTGACAACAATACTATGTCAGTGACATGGAAGGATGTTTATATAGTGTCTTGACCCCATCATCTCCAAATAGGACAGATTCTGTTTTAAAGAGCAATTTTAAAATGATATCCAGATGGGTCAGGTGTTGGCAGCTGTTCTTTTGCTAAAAGGATTCCAAAATTTTCAGCTACAGCTTACTAAAGTTGTACATTCCTGGGTGAAGTGTGATTTAATTATAAAGAAAGTCTAAGGCATGGCTTCCTTCATTACTGAACTGGGTCAAAGAGAAAAGTGAATAGAGTGTTAAAAGTAGGCAACTCCTTTTCAATATTAAACAACTTTTAGAGAAGCCCAGTGAATAGGTAGTGAGATAAGAATAGCTGAAGCTATCTGGGCAACTAAGAGAGAACAAGGTTCACCTACACACTACCTGTTCCCTGGCTGCCATGTTGAATCAAGAGGAGAAATTAATGTCTTATGCTTCACATAAGAAACCTACGGATTTATGGGAAACAACTTCTGCAGAGTTAATCTTGCCAAAAAATGCTTCGGTTTTCTGACTTGGGCTGTATCCAGCAATTCACTGTTTAATAAGAAACAATATTGGACTTGCCAGCTCAGAGAAATGAAACTATCTTTGGAGATGAAGATTTTTATAACAGCAAAATGAAGCAAAAATCATTGTGGTACCTTAAATTCTTGCTTTTAGCTCACATCTAATTATCCATTATGTTGGCCAACATTTCAGACTTGTTTTTTTTAATCTAGGTTCCAAGCAAATATTCTTGTGTTTGATGTGTTGGACTGCAACTCCCAGTATTCCCAAACAGCATGGGATTATGGTACTTGTAGTCTATTGCATTTGGAAAGCAATGGGCTGGAAAACTGCCTTAATTTATCTTATCTCCATGAGCCAAGGATGGTTGCTGACCTCTGCATTAAACAAAATTGAATCTAAACTACCAAAATTGGGGCTTATTTTGATGCATAAAATCTCCCTTAAAAGGGATTGACCTTCTCTGGATTCTGTTCCACATGTCATTGTCAAGAAAATTTGGTTTCATTCACTGAATATTCATCCCTGACAATAGTCACATTTTATTTGCCCATTTCTTCCCATCTCCTAGGCATGTTTTAAATTACAAAGAATGTACTTATCTTTAGTGATGTGTACATAAATACATTCATGTATAAATAAATGAATCTATATATATATTTGATGTTTACTGAATTTTCCCACTGTTTATGGTACTGGAGGTCTTGAATCATTGTGCCTTGATTGTAAATAAGCTTGAGTGTCTATTTTATGAATAAAAAAATATTATGATTTGTAACTTGTGATTTGTATTTTCTTTCTGCTTTTTAAAATACACTGAATTAAATTCCCCAGACTTCAGCTTTGGATATTTGTCGCTATCAAGCAATATCAAGGATGAAGTCTGCTGGAAAATGGATCAACAATCTGTTGGATTCATTTCAACATCTGATAGTGCTATACAGAAATCCGGATTTTGAAGGGCAAAAGGTGATTGAGAGAGCACATGGATATGCATGTAGCCTTGTAGGGAACACTTTGAAGCAGCAGTGTGACTTCCACAGTTGCCTTATGATCTCAGGAAAAGATGTGCTTGATTGAACATATTCTAGACAGGTGCTACATGATCAGCACCCCACTATTCCTTCATGACAATACAACAGTTATACTGGAGGTAGAGCTGGACCTCTTCCTCTTGCCTGCTATGCCAGCACAATTAGTAGTGTAATAATTGAATAGTTATCAGTAACTTTCTAATAACTTACATGAATTCTAAAGCCAATGAAGAAGATTGTGTTTCTTTTTTGTCAGTTTAATATGGAAAACTTTGTATCATGGAAAAATATGGTCTCTGTCTACTTGCGATTCCAGTCCTGTAGACTACATTGTCTGACTATTCCTGAGTTGAATGATGATAATACGAAGTTATTGCTTTGTTTATAATGGGTTATAATCCACTAGTTAAACAAGTCGGCACATCTCAACTCTTAACCTTACACTTGACAGAAATATCTGAATTCTTCTCCCAACTACACCAATATTGTGCCACAAGAAGACATACTTCCAAAATAAGGATGGAGAACAGAGACAGTTGCCACTATATCATTTTGGATGTTGAGACTGGAAAAGCCTGATGCAACTGGAAAACTAAACCAAGGAAACTATAATGGGTTATTGTATTTGGGCCACAGGAAACAAAAAAAATGCATAAGAAGGGGGGGAGGAATTAGTCAAAGGGGAGAAAAGCCTCAACTTTCCCCCAAACCATACAATTGTTCTTTAAAAAATATATTTAAAAAATTGCAGCTATTTTTAATCTTGGCATACTTTTAAAAACATGATCTGAAGTAATATAGTACTATAGTAATATTACTCCATCTGAATTAGATTACTAAAACGTGAATAAATGAGATTTTTTTTTTCATTTCAATCTGTTCTTTTTATTTATTTTATTTTATTCTATATCAAATTTATATACCGCCTTTCTCCCTGAGGACTCAGGGCGGTGTACAGCCAAATAAAAACATAGACTACAAACATTAAAATACTATTAAAAAGTACTATATAAATACTATTAAAATACTATTAAAAAATACTATATAAATTTGGCCCCGTAATTAAAAAACAATGACAAACCAATTAAAAACATTTAAAAGTGTTAAGCCAGCCCGGCTTGCTGAAAAAAGAAAGTTTTAAGGGCACAGCGGAAGGCACCGAGGTCTTGGATTCTCCTTATCTCTGGGGGCAGTTGGTTCCAGAGGGTAGGTGCCCCACAGAGAAGGCCCTCCCCCTGGGGATCACCAGCCTACATTGTTTGGCTGATGGCACCCCGAGGAGGCCCTCTCTGTGGGAGCGCCCAGGTCGATGGGAGGCCGTCAGTAGCAGCAGGCGGTCTCGAAGATATCTAGGTCCTATGCCATGAACCTGTTTTTAAACAGGTTCTCAACACTAATTAATCCAGGAATTTATTTTCAGTGTCAATTGTGTTGAGAATCTATTAAAATGTGTGTGTGTGTGCATACACACATATAAACACCGCACACACGCACACAACCAGCCTGCTTCAGCACAATTTGAAATATGGGATCTATGTTCTTGTTTATTCAGTTTGCTATTCAGGTATTTGTTGTCAAATGAACCATTTTAAAAAGCAGGGAGAGATATAAGAGTAGCCACAGGTAGTCCTCTACATTCGACCACAATTGAGGCCAAAATTTGTGTTGCTAAGCAAGATAGTTGTTAATTTAGTTTTGCCCCATTTTACCTTTCTTGCCACAGTTATTAAGTTAATCACAGCAGTTAAATTAGTAGCACAGTTGTAAAGTGAATCTGGCTTCTCCACTGATTTTACAAGTCACAAAAGTTGATCACATGACTCTGAGACACTAACCATCATAAATATGAGCCAGTTGCCAAACGTCCAAATTTTGATCATGCATGGAGAGGCTGCAACAGTTACAAGTGTGAAAAATGGTCACTTTTTCAGTACCATTGTAACTTCTAATGGTCACTAGATGATTGGTTGTAAGTTGAGGACTATTTATAGTCATATATGGGCTACATATATTCTTAAAACAGAACTAGACCAAGATTCCAGGCATTTAAAATTGACAACTTAATGGTTTCAGAGAGCATCTAGGAAAAAACTAAACTAAATCGATTTGCCAATTCTGAGAATGTAATATCTGATTATACAGTATCTTCCTTTCTTCTGGTTGTTTTTTTTCTTCTTCTTCTTCTTCTTTACTTGTTTACCCTCTTTTTTGAGGAAGAACTCTAAATACTACAAAACTTGCTTTTTGATCTTGTGATGTTCGAAGTAATCGATTCTGGCCTGGAGTCCCGTTAAAACTTACGGGACCGTCTGCTGCCACCAGTAGCCTCTCACCGGCCAGTACGCTCTCATAGAGAGGGGCTCCTCAGGGTGCCGTCGGCCAAACAGTGTCGACTGGCGGCCCCCAGGGGGAGAGCCTTCTCTGTGGGGGCACCTGCTATCTGGAATGAGCTTCCCCCGGAGATACGGAAGATCCCGGATTTACGCACCTTCCACCGTGCCCTCAAGATCTTTTTATTTCAACAGGCTGGCCTGGCCTAATTGTAAATTTTAAATCTGTTTTAAACTTTAGGGGTGTTTTAATCTGTTCCGGGCCAAACTATTTAATTGGGTTTTATATTGTCTTTTAAATTTTGTAGTCTTTATGTTTATCTCTTTGGCTGTTCACCGCCCTGAGTCCTTCGGGAGTAGGGGGGTATATAAATCTAATAAAATGAAAATGAAATGAAAAAATGAAACTACTTTTTTTAAAAATACTACGTCTCTGCGTGTTCTACAATAGGAAGAGTTTTGTACCATCTTAAGCTAAGAATTGGATTTATGGAGTATACTTCAAAAACAGAAGCCTGTGGTGTTTGAAGAGTTCCGACTTCAAAGCCAAACCAAACCAAATAGCTGAGATGCTATTTAAAGTTATTATATCGCCCAGCTGCGGCAACGGACAAGTTAAACGGTGTCATTCCAAAAAGCCCTGAGACACTTACCCCCCCCCCACCCCTAACTCTCCTTGCCACGTGGTGGTGTTCTCTCCCCATTGGCTGAAAATGTCTTGTTTTTCTGCTGCGATTGGACTGCGGCTGTCGGAATGCGAGGTCTTTGCAGCTGGTTGGCCGAGAGCTGTCGGAGGGGCGGATCATCCCGGGGTCTAGGTCTACCAGCTCTTTCAGAAGTCTGTGGGCTGCCTAGCGGAGAAGCTCGAGAAAAGCAGAGGCGCCTGTTGGCTTCCGGGTAGTCGGGAAAGGGGTTACCGCCGCTAATCGTTCTCCCCGAAAAGTGGCCTGTGGGGCCCGCCTGTCGGTGCTGCGATGCGTCTATTGCGATGCCTGATGAAGGGCCAGTCGGCGCTGGCCGGGGCGCCCAAGTATATCGAGCACTTCAGCAAATTCTCTCCATCGCCGCTCTCCATGAAGCAATTCCTCGACTTTGGTGCGTGGGAGACCGAGAGGGAGAAGGGTGGGGGGGACGCACTGCAGCCGGTTTCTTGAACCAGTCACCTTCGAATGGGCTGGACTACAAGTCCCATTCTCCTCAACCAGAGTACCCTGGGGCCCTGCCATTGCACAGCGATGTTGGGTGGTGGAGTGCAACCATCTCCCCCTTCTCTTCTCTCTCTCTCTTTCTCTTTCTCATGCACACCAACACCCTCTTTCTTTCTTTCTTTCTTTCTTTCTTTCTTTCTTTCTTTCTTTCTTTCTTTCTTTCTTTCTTTCTTTCTTTCTTTCTTTTTAGTTTTATAACAATTTTAATGGCCTTTGATGCTCCAGCATACACCAAAGCATCAGAACTACTTTGCTTACACTACTTTGATGACATAGAATTAAAAATGCAAATATTTTTCTATAGAACATCATTTCAGGTTTATGCCAGCTGAAAGTTTCATTTTATTTATTTACTTTGTGTTTTTTTATTTTCCAAATCCTAATATGCTAAAAAGAAAACGATAAACTCTTATTTAAATAAGAGTTTATCGTTTATTTAAAGTAACCGGTACTTATTAGCCCCCATGAACTTTATACAGTCATGAACTGCAGGCTGGGCTGGGATGGTATCCAGGGTTTTTGAAGGGGGGCCAGGTCGGGGGAAGGTTGTCTGAAGGCACCAGGCTTCTCTTTACCAGCAAGACCCGAAATTCTAACCGAACGTTTGCTCCCAAATTCCCAAATTTTTTTGTTTTGAGGGGTGTTTGGGTGGCCTGCCCTGCCCTGGGTTGCTTCCTTATGGAAGGATTTTTGCTCGTTGTATTAACTCTTTTATCTTACAGGTCATTGACTTCTGGGGAGCTTTAGAATTAAGGTGACTTTCAAACAAAGTTGCTTGTCCTTGCAATCCTGTACATTTTCATTGTATGCCAAATCAGAGTTCACTGATGTTCTGAAGAAGCCAGTGAAGGGATGTAGCTGTGATATGTTTTTATTACTTCTGGTGGTTGCTTCTGTATCTGAAGTTAAAATGGGACAATGGAGCTGAAAATTAATCATTTACTTAATCAAATTTTCACCAAAAGCAACTCTAGGCAGTGTACAAGGAAATGATAAAGGAGGAACCAGTGGCCTCTTTTATTAGTTCATGTGGATTGAATATCCAATTCCAATTTTTTGATCAAGATCAAAGTATTATTCATCAAGATTGATCTGAAAAGTTCTCTGTGACTTTAAAAAGTATGTACTTACATCATACTGTTCATATTTTCCCACTGATAGTCTCACTGAATAGAGTAGGATGACTGCTAAATATGTATGAACGTAAAAATGTGTTTGTGTTGTTGCATTAAATTTAACAGCCTGTTTTATGAAATGCATGTAGTATTACCCTTTGTGGGTGAAATTTTTATACAGATTGTGTAGTTCTGTGGAGAAACAGCAATAGAAATAAGAAATGGCAAATAATAATGGAATGAAAGAAGTTTGTTAATATGTGTGGAGTTTGATGTGACGCTTAAATGCTCATAAGCTATTTAGAGTGACAACTTTCCCTGATATAAATCGTTTCTGGATCAATATGCTTCTTCTATTGTGTGTTCAGGATTACTAAGTGTATAGTACGATGACTTAAATCACCTCTTTCTCTGGGTGAATATGCCAAATGGTTTCTCAATTTGACTTTCCAGACATGGCATATCTATCTATGACATGTCTTCTTCAGCTCGGTTTCTTTCTTTCCTTATCCACTGGGGAAAATGCCAATGTGTAGTTGGATCACATACAAAGGTTGCAAACAGAGGGCCCCAGGTTTGCTTCTGGGCATCTCCAGTTAAAATGATGAAAAAATAGATAATGTAGAAAAAAAGAGAACCTGGGACTTCTGTTAGCTTCCAGTACAGGAAATGGTTAGGGAGAGTCATAAATTAACAGCCTCCAGGTTCCTCAACCCTGGAGTCCATAGGTGTAGTTTTGAGATTTATAGAAGACTATTTGCAATGTTTAAATTAGTAGGTACCATTGCATAATCTTGAGCATGGATTTCTATGTAGTAAGCTTATGTGGTTTAAGGAATTGTTGCCTTAAGCTTCATGTTCCTGAACAGTTGATTTATAAATTCAATGGTTCTGCTTCTATTACTATAAATGCTTAATACTATAGGAATTCACTAGAGTTTGAAATAAAAGCATGCATCAGGAATGGGAATGTGTGATTCTCCAGATGTTGCTAAATTACAGCTCTCAGTAACCCCCCATTCTTACTCTCTGATCACTCTCTGATCTGATTGATCAGAGCAACTGGGAATTTGTTAAGGGATATATCCCCCCCTCCCCTGGGAACTTCTTGTTGCATTCATATTTTATGCCACTTTTTTCCTTCTATTTTTGCCCATAACCAACCTGGAAGGTAGGTTGAGCTGAGAGATAACAATTGGCTGAAAATCACTTAGTACCTGAGGGTGGATTGTAACATTTGCACCACCATTATGCTGTCTGAGAACTCTCTAGATGTGTGAAATTCGGCTTTTAATATTTCCAGCCAGTGTGATCCTTGCTAAGAATATTTCTCAACATTTTCCAAATGTGTCACTATGTATGCTGTCTGTTCAGAAAGTCTCTATTCAGAAACTAACTCCTCAGTTACAATTGCCAAAATACTGCAATTGTTACTATCAGACATTAAAATGTAATGTAATATAATGTAATGTAATTTACTTGAATTAAGATCCTCTAGTTTTTGAGTGGCAAAAAGCAGGGGTTTTAAGATGAAGGAATGAGAGCGTAGAAGATTGAATTTATGAAGGGGAGAATCAGAGGAAAATTCTGCTCAATAAAATTGTGTCTCAGCTGCCAAGTTGGGCGGAGGGAGTTTTGCAGTGCCCTTTGAAGCATCTGAAGGACAACAAGTGCTGATTGGAGGATCTCAGTGTCAGAGAGATTAAGGCCCTCCTCTAATACTCCACCCCCATACTATATTCTCTTTGATTTTCCTGCACTGCTCTATCTGAACTATAGTGAATGTGTTTGACACTCTTCCATGCAGTGTTGCTAAATAAAGAACTTACGGAATCTGATTGGTGAAATTATGCAACAGGACGTAGAGTGGGTGAACTGTCACCCAATATTCCATTACCTATCCTATCATTTTTTTCTAGTTGTCAGTTGCATATCATATGTAGCTTTTAAAGGGATCGGATCTCTGTGGACTTTATTAGATAAATTATTCAGATAGAAACTTAGTAGAGACAAGTTCGCAATTGCCTCACATTTGTTTCATTTGCCTGTGCAATTCTAAACCTCTCAACTCATGTTCTGTTGCTGATCATGTCTTCCTGTGTCTAGTTGTCATTCTCTGCTGATATATATGTGTGCATTTCTGTGCTGGCTCAGCACAGAAGATGTGTTGCTAGATTTGGGGGTAGGGGGAAGGACATTGATGTTATATATGTTGACGGCAGCAAGATTACTTTATGCACAAAAATGGAAGGACACTGTGATTCCTACAATGTATGGCTGCAAAAGTTGATGGAGTTAGCAGAGATGGCCAAATTGACTGCTCTGATTAAAGAAAAGAACACAGTTTACCCTGTTTCTACTTGAAAACAGCTTTTGGACTTTGTGCTTGAGGTGGAAAAAAAATGAAACTTTGAGTTTTGCATTTTGCAGATTAGATAGGTTTGTTGTTATAGAAATGTCTAGTTTATATTATTGTATAAAAGTAAAAAGTTGAGTTTTGATGCTATTATCTTATTCTACTGCACAAAAAGGAGTCAGAAGTCAACACTTTCTCTTTCTTTTTTCCCTTTGCCCTATACTTTTCCCTTTTCTTTTCCCTCCCTTGTTTTCTTATTATTTTCTTTTGTATTTTTGATTAATAAATTTTGAATATTCAAGAAAACAAGATAAGTTGCTTATCTGGTACTTTGAAAAGTAATTGTGCAGTACTGTGCCTTGTTTGTACAGACCAGTGTTGCCCAAACTTTTAGAAATGTTGGATCTACAGCCCGTCTTTTCTTCAGCCAGGATGGCCTTGCTGCCTGGTGAAGATAGGAGCTCTGATGCAATAATTAAGGAGAATAGTAGGTTGTCAAAGCCTAGTTTGTACAAAGAAGGTACAGCACACCATACAATTCAGGCCTTCTTGAAAATAATCTTGGGTTTCTACTTTCTGTGGGATTAAACAGGATTATTTCCCCCTTCTTTTGATTTTCTAAAAGCTTAAGACCTTTGTAAAATAAACTGGTTGGGTTTTTTTAGCTTGTAAATTAATCTTGTTTTCATGTTTGAGTTCTTACAGGAATCAAATTTGCAAGTGATTAGTTCTTGAATCTGTATGCCTCCTTATCCCTGCTCAGATAAATTTTCTTTTTGGGCAGTCTCCTCCAGAAATGCTGGATTATGAGCTCCATCATCTTAAGGCAATTGTAGAGAAATAGAGCAAGTTTTTGGAAAGATGCCAGCTGGCAGGAAGCTATTTTATACCCTTACAAAGAGTTTGCTTGCATTGAAATTGGAGACTAACCATCCATGTTGTTTTTCCAGTATTTGAATTAGAAGGCTTAAACAAAAAAATCTCACACCTGAATAGACTGTGATCTGATTTCACACATTTGTTTGAACAAATAAAAGACAGAAAGGAAAACTGTCCATGTATTGTTTAAAATTGTATAAAAGCTCTTTCATAATTAAAATATTACATTGAGAGCATACCATGATTATTATTCAAAATGGAATAGTTGTTTAAAAATGAAGATAAAAAGTAGACCATAACCTACTACTAGATGTAGAAAAATGTGGGTTAAACAGCATCACCACCAGATAGATTCATAACTGGCTGACCAACCACACTCAACGTGTAGTCCTCAATGGAACTGCATCTACATGGAGGGGAATATGCAGTGGAGTACATCAAGGCTCTGTTTTAGGCCCAGTACTCTTTAGCATCTTCATCAATGACTTGGATGAGGGGATAGATGGGGAACTCATCAAATTTGCAGATGACGCCAAGCTGGCAGGAATAGCCAACACTCCAGAAGATAGGCTTAAGATAAAGAGGGATCTTGACAAACTTGAACATTGGGGGCTATCTAACAAAATAAATTCAATGGTGAAAAAAGTAAGGTTCTACATTTAGGCAAGAAAAACAAAATGCACAGGTACAGTATATGTGATACCTTGCTCAATGGTAGTAACTGTGAGAGGGATCTTGGAGTCCTAGTGGACAACCATTTAAATATGAGCCAGCAATGTGCAGCAGCTGCCAAAAAAGCCAACACAATTCTAGGCTGCATAAACAGGGGAATAGAATCAGGATCATGTGAAGTGTTAATACCACTTTATAATGTCTTGGTAAGGCCACACTTGGAATACTGCATTCAGTTTTGGTCGCCACGATGTAAAGAAGATGTGGAGACTCTAGAAAGAGTGCAGAGAAGAGCAACAAAGATGATTAGAGGACTGGAGGCTAAAACATACAATGAACGGTTGCAGGAACTGGGTATGTCTACTTTAATGAAAAGAAGGACTAGGGGAGACATGATAGCAGTGTTCCAATATCTCAGGGGCTGCCACAAAGAAGAGGCAGTCAAGCTATTCTCCAAAACACCTGAGGGTAGGACAAGAAGCAGTGGGTGGAAACTAATCAAGGAGAGAAGCAACTTAGAACTAAGGAGAAATTTCCTGACAGTTATAATAATTAATCAGTGGAACAACTTGCCTCCAGAAGTTGTAAATGATCCAACACTGGAAGTTTTTAAGAAGAGATTAGATAACAATTTGTCTAAAGTGGTGTAGGGTTTCCTGCCTAGGCAGTGGGTTGGACTAGAAGACCTCCAAGATCCCTTCTAACTCTGTTATTCTGTTCTGTTCTGTTCTATTCAAGTCTATTCTTGTACTTCTCTTACATTGGCTGCATACTACAAAAATGAAAATGTGTGCTCTTTTCTCTTATACACTTGGAAACCTTGAATTATAACTGTGAAATGATATAGCCTAAATATGGCCTTTTTCCATTAGCTTTAACTGTGAAACTATGAATACAGGGATGGAGGAAGGAATAATACTGAAAACGTCTCATGGATATTCCATCCTTGGAGAGGACCCAAGTCAGATACTAAAAAGCTCAGCAATGAAGTTGTTGGTGAAGCATGGAAAATATATGGATTTTGTAGCAGCCATAAAAGGGAAGTGATTTATATATAAAACTTCCATTCCTGAAATCCAGTATAAGAACTAATGTGCTGTAATAATTGATGTGTTGAGGAGAAACAGGATTTTGTCCATTCTCTGCTGCAAAATCTCACTGTATGACTTTGGACAAATTAATCAGCCTAAGCTACAGTACTCACACTGTTACTATGAAGATAAAATAGATGGAAATCCTCATATAAACCTTGAATTCTTGGACAAAAGTTAAGTTATAATCTACGATAATAAAAAAAAAATATTTGAATCTCAGTGTAGTCCCTTTATCTTTTAAAACTATCTCATCCTCCTGTTAAAGTTACTCTCTACAATCATGTGTTCTCATAGTTTGTTCATAAATACTGGATGCATGAAGAGAGCGTGAAAAGATATTTCGTTCTCCCAATGTGTTCAATAGTTGCAACAAATTGTGGTTATTTGAGCCCATCAATTATTATTATTAGGCACTAAATCTCAGAAGACTGTTATTTGAATCATTATCGTGATATTACACGCTTCGTATGGGAAATTACAGTAGTGCATAGTAATTTTGAAATCTCAAAAAAGGGACACGTTAGCTGAATAATGCAGAATTATTAATGGCTCGGTGTGTCTTTTTGTTTCTCTTTTGCCTAGGATCCAGCAATGCCTGTGAGAAGACCTCCTTCATATTCCTTCGCCAAGAGCTTCCTGTCCGACTGGCCAATATTATGAAAGAAATCAACCTTCTCCCTGACCGTGTACTGAGTACTCCCTCTGTTCAGATGGTGCAGAGTTGGTGGGTTCCTGCCCTTTTTTTCTCATTCTTTTCTTTTTTTAATAGTAATTTTATTATTATATATTACTGTAATTACAATAGTAAAAACTAATATAAACTAACAAAATAGAATAAAAAGAAATAATAGAAGGTGCAGAAAAATGTGAATTAGAAATACTGTAGAAAAGAAAGAAAACTAAAACTATAGTAAAGAAAAAGGAAAGGAATATATGAAGAAGTGACTTCCCATCTTCAGCCTCCCTCCTCACAATAGTTGTCCCACCTTGTTCCTTCAGTTTACAAGGAATTGCAAGTAGCCCCTTTGCATCACACACAGCCAGAAAATCCTGTAACTCTGTAAAGAAGGGACAGGTAAAGTGATCCCGGCTGCGGACAGATTTTACTCAGTAAAACACAGGTTACCTGTTCTCCTGTTTTTATTTTTAGGTAATTTTAATTTTGGAAAAAAAGATTAAATTGAAAACCAGCATTGCTCAGAGGAAAACACCAACTATTAGCATTGACTAAATTTACTGGCGTTCTTCTGAGTCTTATGGCTATCTGAAAACTATTTATGGAGAGCTTTTTCCAACAGTTCATCTATCAGTTGCCTCACTCCCCAAAGAAAAGAAGTTGGGGTTGTAAGGAAAGTCTAGCAATGAGCAACCTCCCTATTTTGAGATTAGTTACAGTGGCCATGATAACTGTTTTGTGAAATAGCAAACCTCTCTGGGACAACCCATTTGTGAAAATGATCACAACGTGTTTAAAAAATTTCAGAGGAGTCTCCAATCCCCTCTCCCCAAATCTATATTGTGCATAAACTTCAGGCTGCAGAGTTCAGATGCATAGAGTTACCGTTTTTCTTAAGCGGAGTTGCTAAAGGAAATTTGTTGGCTGAGATTAACAAAGATCATAAAGATCTCATGTCAGTCAGCCATCGTTTCATAGATCCTACATAAATTCCCCTAGCCGTCTTGGGAAACAATAATAAACAAGAATGGCTGGAAATTTCAGTTTCTTAGGGGCACCATGTTTGTGTCCATTGCTCTAGTTGTGTTTGTCAAGGATCTTCCATCAATTTCAGCCCCATCAAGGCAATATGCAGTTAACAATGGCTGATGATCAATGCTTAAAAGAAGATACCACCTCCAGACACACAACAATATATGCACCTCTAGAGAAAGTTTATAAATAAATAGTGGGAAGAGGATGTTGGAGGGCTTTAATAATAATAATAATAATAATAATAATAATAATAATAATAATAATAATAATTGTTATTGTTATTATTATTATTATTATTATTATTATTATTTTATTTCTATACTGCCCTTCTCCTGCGGGATTCAGGGCGGTGTGCAGCCAAGATAAAACATTGCATATAAAATTTAAAAACAATTTAAAAAACAATTAAATAATTTCAGCCCAAGATATTAAAAACAACCCAATTAAAACCAAATTCAATTAAAACTGAGAGGATGGGATCAAGCCAGCCCAGCTAGATGGAATAGGTGTGTTTTCAGGGCCCGACAAAAAGTCCGGAGGTCTGATATCGTGTGTATCTCAGGGGGTAGGTCATTCCAGAGGGTGGCTGCTGCCACAGAGAAGGCTCTCCCCCTGGGGGTCGCCAGCCGACACTGTCTGGCCGACGGCACCCTGAGGAGGCCCTCTCTGTGCGAGCGAACTGGTCGGTGGGAGGCTATTGGCGGCAGAAGGCGGTCTCGCAGATAACCCGGCCCTAAGCCATGGAGCGCTTTAAAGGTGGTCACCAACACCTTGAACGCACCCGGAAGACCACAGGAAGCCAGTGCAGCTCGTGCAGGAGAGGTGTCATATGTGAGCGCCCCGTCGCTCCCATAATGCCTTTTCTTTTTCTTTCTCTACCCATCCTCTCTCTTGTTCTTCATTTTTTTCAGGGGTGAAATGCTCCCGGTTCGGACCGGATCGCATGATCCGGTAGTGATGGAGGCAGGTGGTTCGGAGAACCGGTAGCAAAAATCCCTGCCACCCCCCACCCCATGCCCAGCTGAACCGTGTGATCATCAGAGGCTTTTTTTAATTATTTTTAAAAGCATTTTTTCTACAACCTCTTCGGCTGAAAAAAATGCTTTTAAAAGAAAAAAAAAGCCTCTGATGATCCCGCGGCTCAGCTGGGATCGTCAAAGGCTTTTAAAACCATTTTTTCTACAACCTCTACAGAGGTTGTAGAAAAAATACTTTTAAAAGGCTCTGATGATCCCAGCTGAGTTGCCTGATTGGCAGAGGCTTTTAAAAGAAAAAGAGCCTCTGCCATCAGGCAACTCAGCTGGGATTGTCAGAGCCTTTTGAAAGCATTTTTTTACAACCTCTTAGCTGAAGAGGTTATAGAAAAATGGTTTTAGAAGTTTTTTTTTAAAAATGGCCATGCCCACATTAACCCCCCCAAGCGACGCCCACAGAACTAGTAGTAACAAATTTTAGATTTCACCACTGATTTTTTTCCCCCTTGGTTTTGCTAAGAGGAACTGTTGTTTTGAATGAATCTCTCTTACTGGAGTTTTACATTAGCATTGAGGAGGCAAAAGAAATAGGATGTGGCCCTTTAAGATGCCAGCATGACCTTTGGCCTACTTTGGGAAAGTAACATGTGAGAGCTTGTTTGTTTCTCTCTGAATTTCCCTGTTCTTTTCTGTCCACATCCCATTGCGGTTGTCAGGGAAACAAGCAGGTGCTGGAGAGAAGTATCAAAAGGCACATAAGGAACTGAGAGCCAAGTTAATTCTTATTTTGCCCGAGTTGCCCTTGATCCCAACTCTGAGCTGGTTTTTGTCTTCCTGTGGGAAAGCTTTGCTTGCTAATCCTTTGCAGCCTGCAGTTCCATGGCAAGACTTCCTCATAGCAGCAATCCTTCAAAGGCACCGTGGCTCATAATTATTGGCCTTGTAGTCCTGAACACCCAGATGTTTCCCAGTACTGTACAGGTAAACGTTGCATCAAAATCATAACATACTTAGAAATGCCTCCCTTCAATGGATGAATCACAATACATATTTTTAATGTGGCACAAGAAAAGTCATTAAAGACATATTGAGGACCAGCTACATTATTTGAATTTAATTACATACTTATGAATCAATCATGCTATTCCACTTCTCGTGTAGACAACAGGTACAGAATGCATAAAAAGAATAACAAGTAGTAAGACAAAGGGATAAAAGCATATCATAAACAGAAACTTTTTTACAGGTAAAAATTCCAAGATGCAAATACACCAATCAGGACTGTCCTGTGCATTTATAGAAGTGTCCTCAGGAATCACAGAGTACAAACTGCGGAAAGCATAGAAATGCAACACAATAGCAACACAAGATTCGCTGAGAAAATCCACACTGACCTTTATTCTCTTCCCGTTAAAGTCAAACAGAGGAAATGGGCTTTTTATATTTTTTTTCTTGACTAAAGCATTGTGCTTTTGCTGTTTATTTCTGATAAGGAATTAGGATGAAATATTCAGAAAGTCATACAATGTATGGCTTGCTTAAAAAAATAAATTTGGAAGAAAACCATAGGTTTTATATTTTGATAATGGAATAAATTTTTATATGCACAGATGTCTTATTATTTAATGAAAAATTAGATTATTCATGAGACATCTGTGTCCTTTATACTATAACAAAATGGGAAGGAAGGAAGGAAGGAAGGAAGGAAGGAAGGAAGGAAGGTAGGTAATCCCCATTACACATATGCAGAGCTTTGTTAGCCAATAGTCCTGATGAGAAGATTTCAGCAGTTAACTACCTTCAAAATGACCTATGTGATAAAGTCATAAAAGCCATTTCTTATAAATTAGGAAGGCAAAAGTATTTAAGGAAGGCAACCCTGATCCCTTAAAATTAAAAACAAAACAAAAACGAACCTTTATCATGGTTTATGCTAATGATTTTAAAAAGAAAGAAATCTCTTCAACCAGGAACAGATAGGTAACATCTTAAGTGCTAGCTAACTGAACTGTAGAGTTGAACAAGATATCATAGTTGGATATATATAGCAGATATCTATCCACTAGAAGGTTTAAAGTACAGCAATAAAAATGACTTATTTTAATGTGGACTAAAGCAATAGATCTGAACTGAATAACCATGGAATAACCTACTACAAGAAACACAAATAGATTTTTAGGATCAAACATAAAGTACATAGTAAAGTCCAATACTACAAATACAATCCAAGGGATTCCTAGAAATACTGAAAAGACTTTAAGGAAACCTCCAGCCTTCTTGTGCAAATATTTCTGTCAGAATTCTCTCAAGCATAGAAGCATCCATAGACATGGCAACTAATACATGCTTTCCTACATGGAATTCAGGAGAAGAAATTTACAGGGAAAAGTCCAGTATTCATTCAAACTGGAAAGGAGAGGATTGTGGGCAAACTGCAGACAAAAATAGGCTTCCAGGATATAAAATGAAAAGCCAATGTTTTTCTAATGTTGCTTTCAAAAGGATTTAAGGAAGGCAAGGCTGATCCCTGCCTATACTTGAAATTTAAAAATAACAAATGAACCTTTATCTTGGCTTATGCTGATGATTTCAAAAAGGAAGAAATCTCCTCAACCGGAGACAGATTGTGAATAAATTGAGTCTGCCCAGTAGTAGCTTGCATAATGGACTAATCCATTGCAAGAGGAAAATAATATAATACTAAAGCATCTTTCCATTAAAATTCCATCTAGTTTATCCCTGATATATTGATATTCTATCTGCAGAGTTTCAGATGGGAGGAACAAATTGGAATATACAGTACATAGCTTACATCTGCAATATCTTCTCATGATTAAAAAGGATTTGCAAAAAAATGCAGATCTATTGTATACTCCTCTTCTGGTTCCACCAGCCGATCTCCTCTTCTAGGATATTCCATTTTATTTTCTCTCTCTCTTAGTTTTCTTTCTATGTATATGTGGGTATTTCTAATAAGTAGTCAGCATGCAGATAGCACCCACAGAGGTGACAAACAGTGTTTTTTTTAAAAAAAATTGA